ACACAATTATCTCTGTCACGTTGTGCATTATAATAAATTACAGAAGTATTTATATTAATTTGTTGTTTTAAACTGTCTCGAACAATAAAGAAAAAAACTCCTTTTGAAAATAACTCGTACTTAAATGATCTCATATGCGAATTTAGAAAAACTATTACATTTAAAATTTATTTTGGATACATTACTTTTAAATCTATTTATATGTATGAGAAACAAAAGTGGTCCAGATCATGACACTGAGATGGCGTGCTTGTATATATTAAGTGAATAATCGGTGACGTAATGTTGACAGAGCTAGTGTCCTTGAAGATTGAGAGGATTAATATTTTGATGACTTAATATTATATACATACATATGTTTATTTGTGTGTGTGTGTCTGTGTGTGTGTATGTATATATTTATTTTCGTTGAACTAAGTAAAGAATTTGATCAAATATATCCCTTAACAAATCTCTGATGATTTTCTTCAGGAATGCATTTATTGAAAAGCAATCATTTCTATTTAATGATTGATAATGATGATCAGTGTTAAAACCGTCGTAATGTTTATTACACAGTTACCTCTTACACGAACGTAATCTTTAATTTCAAATGAAATCGTTAAATATCAGATATGATAAATACCGACAATGGATAATAAAATTAAAGTCATAAACGCCTCAGATAAAAGGGTCCGTGCGCATGTTCTTGTGTAATGTTATTTTTATAACTCGTATGAATTCCTTTATGTTTTGTATAGGTTTGTGTTTGTTGGTGTGAATGTAAACTGAACATCCGAATTCGGAAATAGATCTGTTCATCTCGCCTCCTGGACCGCCGCGCGATCCAAGTTTAATCTTCATATTAAACTTCCAATAAAATGTAAACATTTATATTAATAGTGAAGTTTTCTTAATAGAATTTATATTTGGATCATTCCTATAACTCCTTTTCATGTGTTAATTCCTTTAAAATCTTCTTAATCTTCATTACGATTTCCATAACCTTTCTCAGATGAAGATAATATTCTGTCCACATTTCTTGTGTGATCTTCTAATCTATAAAATAGTATAAGAGTCCAACATTAGTTTATATTTAGAGTTTCAAAATTCTATTTCTATATCGACCGTCTCTCGTCCTCGTGTTTATTATTATTGATATAATTTGAATATCATCTGGAGGTGTTATATCAGTGCGACTATTCACGCTAGTTTAATCGTTCGATTGTTCTGTTTCTATATTATAGGCCGGTTGTCCTCGCCGTCTCGTTTGGTAGCGCCCACCGCACGTGCCTTCCATGTGGTGACATGCTTTTCATATATGAAGGTCACGTACTAACCACTTGTATGGCACTACTTTCGAGTGTTTTGTTTTGCAGCAAGAGGTGACAATATATGCTGATGTTTGTTTTTGAATATTTTTTATTGGGGATGCGGAGAGTTAGATATTAAAATCTCAGTTTCATATTAAATTGTAGATAAAATCTACGGATATATAGGAATTTTTATTTTAAAACTAAAAACTTAATATCTGCGTAAAGTCAGCGGTTAGGGCTAGTTAATTTTTCATAGATAGTAGAAAATATGATGTTCTCGATCAAGTGGGTCTGGGTTCGAACAGCTGAGTGTGCTGGGCAGGTATTAAATATTAAATGCAAGTTCGTCTACACACATCATGAACTACTCAATATAATAAAAATTAATACTAGTAATTTAAATATTATATGTGACTAATAAAACATATTTCCAAGTTTATCTTGTTCTGAAACATAATGTTTGAAATTTTCATTGGCTGCTTGCAGTGTTTTTTGGTCGATGCCTTTTTGATTTTTCTTAGAATTCAACATTTTATAGCTCGTGTATACTACGCTATAAGTGTTATACAGTTCCTGGAGTGTTAATAGATATGTTTCATTTGAAAAACTTAATAACTGAGAAGACGTTTCTGTGAAATTATAATAGAAATTCGTGAGAATTCTACAAGAGAGTATACACTATGCAGTGTTATTGTGGTTCACAACAATGGTGAGCCACAGACAGACGTATTACATAACCAGTGATTCAGTGTCCCAGTAATGGACATGACTGTATCAAAGCTTATCGATGCTATCATCCTTATCACACGATATCAACACACTTGATATGCATTATCATCACTTTACGTGCAAATACGAAAAGTTTTGAACTAGTTTAAATAACAGTATTTATTAATTATTTATTACTTTTGGTCTCATCGCTGTAAAATTAATTTGGGAGTCTGTTTTATCATACTATGTCCAATTTCTTGATGGGATTTTCATTTATTATAAGTGTTGTATAAAAATCAAGTATTTTAAAATATAACTAGTAGAGTAAAATTATTGCTATTTTAATTGTATGAGGTAAATTTGTAAGGCAAATAAGTACCTATTAACACAATGCAACATTATCATTACTTATCAAGGTCATCTCTGTTCATCTGTCTCAGTAGGTGCAATAGAAATATATAAGGTCCTTGAAAAAAAATATTTAGGTTTCATATTCCTAAGCTTCATTTTTGAAAGACAATCATAACTAACATTCATAGTATAAGAAAAAATCCATCAAGACGAGCTCAAGTGCTGACAAAAGTTCATGTTTCATGGTAGGAAAGCTGGTACACAGCGTCACGGTCCTATGAGCAAGCGACTCCGTGGCGCTCAACTAAGGCTATAATGCTAACCGTTTTGATTAAGTTATCACTCCTGAACCTATCCTGGGCAGACCCACACACAATATGATGAGTGATAAATCAGATGGTATTGAAGCAATAAATTAATAAAATGTGTAAAATATCTTTTGATATAAATAAATACTTTTGAAATAAAATAAAAAATACTTTTTTGAAAACCAAGAAAAAGAAGGGGAAGAGTTACTGCATGTTCCAATTTGTTAGGCACGTCGGGGACAGTACCACCCTTCTAAGAAAACCAAGCTCAAAATAACTATTACAGTACTAGAACTGGAACTTTAATGTACCCAAAGCCTGTAAACCCTGGGGCTGGAAAAACACCTGGAAAACACTAGATTTCACCTGGAGCTGTAGACAGGTTTTCATAGATGACTTCATCATTCTATGTACTTATTGTCTAATAGGCTAGTCGTATACGGTTCTAGATTAGGTTATATGTAATATACATTAGATGATAAATAAATTAAAAAACACGTTCTCGAGATTACTAGAAGCAACACAACATAAGAATCATTTAAAATGTATTTAAACGTGTTTCAATAAATATTTAGTAGTATGTTTTTAATCGTCTATGAATCATGTCATTTTAAACATGATGTTATTTTCGCGTGACTCATCGCTGAACTAACCTCGTTATATCACAACTGAATTAATGTTACTTTGAAAACGAAACCTGTCTTCTCTTATATAATAGAGCGAGTGTGAAATACGTCCGTCTGTAGTTTTTAGTCTTAGGTCTATGACGCCCTAATGAGTAGACTTTTAGAGGTCCTGGATGGGTTTGAAGGGTTTTGAACCTATTTATAGAAGGAAATCAAGGATTATGAAGTAGTTTGACATTAGTATAAAAGGAAAAATAGTATTAATCCAAATAATTCATCTGTCATAACTACTCTACACCAGAAATAATTCTGAAACTATGGCAGGGTCGATCTTCGCTTAATACAGTTTTTTATCACATAATCAGATCTCAGATTTTGGCGAGTTTTATTCATTTAAAAGTTTTTGTGTCAGTTGCAGACTTAAATTGCACTGGTCACAGGTAGATTGGACTTCAAATAATAAAAAAAAATCCTCTGCGTAATATATAATCGTCTGCGGTTAAGTAAAAATATAAATAGATAGTAACATTCATACATATTGCTTGTTATCATAGAACACTTGAAAGATCCTTTTTCTTCAGTTGTCAAATGTTCTTCTATTAGTCGACTACTGTCTAATTTGACAATGAGTTAACAATATCTTTGCAAGAATAATATCTGCATTAGCATTAAATTAAGGTTCAATCGGAATGAGGTCGTAAAGCGTTACCGATGTTTCCTTAACGCGATGCTGTATAGAGCAAAAAGCCATAATAACAGAATCGCTAATGTATTTAGCCTCAACGCCGTCTGATCTTGAACTGAGAACCGGCCTCGGAGGAGCGGGCGATGACGTCATCACATGAACTTGACAATACATTGATAACACATCATACCATTTTGAACTCCAACCCCCCCTCTTTAATGACCAAAATTCATTAATGACGCTCAAGGTTCATTGCAATCCTATTTATATACAATATATCCAACTGTATATAAGATGTTATATATTATATGTTAATTTTAGTATAAAAAAAGTCTTGCAAAAAGTCCGATTAAAATTTCAAAGGATTTAATGTATGCATGAGTGTGGAGTTTTATGATTTATAAATGTAGTATGGAGTGGCATTAAGGTCGTGAGCAAATTGCTCTCGAGGCTCCCAGTTCCAGAGATTGAGCTCAACTGCACGCCGTTATGATGCGTTTATAGTGACGTTGTAATATTTTTGTCACGGAAAGAGTACGGCCGTATTTGATGATGATGAGTAGACTATAAGAAGGATTCAAGATTCCCAAAATATAAAAATCCCTTTCCTATAGTATCTTACACGTTTATTCTACATAACAAAATAAAAAAATCTCTTTTCTATAGTCCACCTTAACTGTAATAAATAAAAATATAAGGAATATTTCTGTTTTGTATCTCGTAAACTACACTTTGAGTTTAATCTATGTATATAATAAATATGTATCTTTTTATGTCACAAATGTTCACGTATGTAATGGGAACATATTATATATAAAAAGTAGATAGATAGCCTTATTTCCTGTCAGTATGATTTATATATTCCATGGATATTACATTGAGGCGTGCTGACATGCAATGAGCTTGTGAGGTCAATGGACTCTCATGTGAATTTTGGCACGCATAAAAAATTTATAAATGTTGACTGTAATATTTATATATTAATGTTATAATACTTTTGTATTTAAATAAGCATTATCTTCAGGTACCAACACAACAAGATCTATACGTATATAGGTGAAGTCTTGGTCTCCGTGAATCCTTACAAGTCTCTGGACATCTATGACCAGCAGCACATGGCTCAATACAGGGGTCGGGAGATGTTTGAAGTTCCCCCTCATGTGTATGCCGTTGCTGACGCCTGTCAACGAGTGCTTAGACAACAGGTCGGTGGAAACAATTAATATATTTTATATATATAAGTTTAAACAATAATCAACTTGTGCATCAACTGCCATAGATTGTTGAGAATGTTTTTTCATTGAATATTTTTTGTATGTCAATCTAAGTAATTGTAAAACAAAATTTTCTAACTGATACATAGTGTCAGTGTTTGTGGTTTGGCTTTATAATGGATCCAAATATAACTGAATTGTAATATGAAACAATTCACCTAGATTCACTTATACAATAACAATGTATTGGATTCGCTTGTTAAATATTATACTGACAAGTAACGTGTGGTTTAGTTCGATTTCCTATAATAAGTTCTTTATGTGTTGTTGTATGGGGCGTCATATTTACACAAAACCCACTTAAAAATTTTAAATATATTTTGACTTACAACTGCCATGTTCGTTATCGTCTGTGGTAAAATTCAAACATAAAGATGAAATATAAAAAGGATTATGAAATAAATATTTATAGACTGTTTTTTGTATAAATTACTACATACATCTTATTTCTTTATATAGTTGTACCACAAACAGTATAAATATCTTTACCTCGATGACAATTGGCTTTATGTATCATAGATGACTGATGAATAGAGCTATTGCAAATAAGTAACAAGTCAATGGCACTCGTTATATAACTGAACACAACTTTGTAACGCTTATAGAAACGATTTAAACATTCTTTATTGTTAAAAGTATATATATTCCAAATTATGTTATTAAAGTTTGATTCGTTTCTACGGCGTAAAATGAGTAGATTTCTGTCAGGTTCTGTCTCTTTAATGAGCGATCATAATACTTCGTATTGTGTGTTTGACAATGGCTTTGTATTAGAAATGATGACCACCGACCACCGACCACAAACCAACAAAATTAAAATACAATGGACATTAGTAGTAATGTATATTCCAGGGGAGGGACACCTGTGTGCTCATATCAGGCGAGTCTGGTTCAGGGAAGACGGAGGCGTCCAAGTTCATCATGAAGTACATAGCGGCCAACACAATGCAGGTGCACAGGGAGTATATAGACAGGTGAGGGACATTCACACACACAGACATAGACACACACGCACACACAGATATATAGCTATATTAAAGAAGACTACAATCATAGCATTCTCTTTGTTATCACAAGAAGTACTATCACTTTACATTAACTGACGACCATCGACGATATTGGATTATTAATATGTATAGACATAATACAAAACTAGACATATATGATTTTTCATATAACATGCAAGTCACGCTTAAATACTTCATAATATGTTTCAGAGTGAAAAACGTCCTGATACAATCGAATTCTATCCTAGAGACATTCGGTAACGCGAAGACGAACAGGAACGACAACTCCTCGAGGTTCGGTAAATACATGGACATACACTTCGACTATAAAGGGGACCCCATCGGCGGACACATCAGCAACTATCTGTTGGAGAAGAGCAGGGTCGTCAGCCTGCAGCCTGGAGAGAGGAACTTCCACGCCTTCTATCAGGTCAGTGACCTTACACAATTTTTGTCACTCCTTGCAAATACACATAGAATATTCCGCTACTGTAAAAAAAATACAAAATGCAGAAGTATTGGTCTGATTTGAAAAAAGACACCTGTATTGGAAAGTAATACGAGCCTATGGAGAAGAAATGTTGCAAAAATGGACGAAAAATTATAATTCTATTTATCACTTTATAATTTGCAAGACACAATAATGATGTAATCAACAATGATGGAACCGAGTCCACCAGCCGGCCGTGCCGATGACTTAACACTTGTCTTTGTTTACTTTACAAATAACATCACTCACTGATGTAACGATTGTTACAAGATGATGTTACATCTGGTGCCTTTATATAATGTAGCATTTTGTCATATGTTTTAGTAATCTTATTAACTTTGCTATAATAATTAGCTGTGAAGATGATTAAGAAGCTAATTAAATTTCATGTAATGTTATGTAACCCTATTCTTCCAGCTCTTAAGCACAAACAACCCGCAGACGAAAAAGTATGGATTGAATTCGAGTTCCGTGTACAAGATTTTGGGCAACGAGCGTGCGACCGCACACGATTCTAAACTCTATAACGTGACCAAGAGCGCCTTTAATGCTCTGGGCTTCCCGCCGGCTGTTGTGGACGATATATGGAGCATCGTGGCCGGAGTTATCTTACTGGTGAGATGTTTAGTGAATAGTTTAACATATCATTTCATGTGACTATAGAGTAAAACGGAGGAATTATTCTATAATTTCTATGATTTGACTTTTTTGGCTGAGGTGATTTAAGAGGAGGAGAAATCTCAATAGATTTTCTTTCATATCTTTCAATGTTTTTTTTCGGATGGTTTCAACAGCCTCTTACATATTAACTCAGTAGGGTATTGATCCCCTAATCGAGATTGATTGAAACTGACTATCATGTAACGAACGTGTTTGGCGGCTAAATATGTTTACATAAGCCACCTAATATGCAGATGTCAACACACGGCGATTGTTCCAGTGACACTAACGTTGCAGATACAACATCTATACTAATTTACAAAAAATATTCCTATTTCTAGGGTGAGTTAACATTCAGTGAGGGCGCTTCAGGCGAGGTAGTTGTCGGCGGTCCAGTATCATCATGTGTCTCTGCCCTGGGAGTGTCTCAAGAGTCTTTAAGGTCCGCGATGGTGTCCAGAGTGTTAGCTGCGGGCGGTGACCTGGTCAGTAAGGAACACACGCTCACTGACGCTCACTACACACGACTGGCGCTCGCTAAGGCCGCTTATGATAGACTGTTCAGTTGGATCGTACAACAGGTATGTGACTACAATGGAATTATCATTGTTGAAGTTGAGGTATCAGACTATCTTAATACCTTAGACCTCCGTTACAATAATAATAATATACATATATTTGAAAGCATAGAGGCGGTATAAATTTAAAGGAAACAATTCTTAGTGCAATTCCTATATAAGTATTAAAACAATCACATCTCGTCTGCCCGTAATCACGGTTGCTGTAAAGTATCCGCAACGTCGGGAGTATGTAGTTTATTACGAAATTAAAGTCGTGTAGTATAATCCGAAATATATTAGTTTCAATTAAATCCTATATAAATAGTCTATCCATCCATTTAATACATAATGTTCTGTATTAGATCAACTCAGCGATCGAGGCGCCCTCTGCCTCCTACCGCTCCAGTGTGATCGGCGTTCTCGACATATACGGCTTCGAGATCTTCGACACTAACAGCTTCGAACAGTTCTGCATCAACTATTGTAACGAGAAGCTACAACAACTATTCATAGGTGACACATAGATACATACATACATACATACATACATATAGGAATTAAATCAAATATGATAGAAAGAGAGTTATTAATAAATTATTGATTTGAAGCGCAAAAATAACTGGCTCAGTTTAGGAGTTAGGATGCACTGCCTCATATATTATTATAATTAATTATAACAACATGTAATGTAATGCTCTTATAATTTTCGCAGACATTCCTCCCGCCCCCTTCTTCCCTAAAGTGCCAAATGAATAATATTAAAACTGTCTACCTTATCTCAAGCTGTAGTGTGACTTCATCTTGTTTCCAGAGCTGGTCCTCAAGCAGGAGCAGGAGGAGTACTCCCGCGAGGGCATCACGTGGACCCCCGTCCCCTACTTCAACAACAGAGACATCTGTGCCCTAGTGGACGCGCCGCACGCCGGCATCATAGCTATCATGGACGAAGCCTGTCTCAACCCTACAAAGGTTAGCAGCTAAAGGCGTCTTTACATCACACATTATAAGCAATTACATTGACAGTGACGTTTAACCTCCAGACACTAAAACCTCCTTTCATGAATACCTGTGTTATAACATGTTTTATTCCAGATATCCGACGGTCAGCTGTTGGAGGCGATGGACAAGCGTCTCAACTCACACAAGCACTACACGTCCCGCCAACTGTCGCCGCTAGACAAGAAACTCAAACATGCTGTAGACTTTCAGATCACGTGAGATATATGACTAATTATAAATTACATATATTATTATATACATGATAAGTCAAGTTGATGAATATATTTTTACTCTAGTCACTATGCGGGCCAAGTGACGTACAACATTACCGGCTTCATGGACAAGAACAAGGACTCGCTGTGGCAGGACCTCAAGAGACTATTACACCGGTCTAGTAACGCATCGCTCGCTAACATGTGGCCCGAGGGAGCCGTCGACATACAGCAGGTGACTTATAATATATACACGCACACACACACACATTCATTATAACTATTACGAACAAAACAAATGAGAATATACATATAATATATCAACCAGACCGACCACATTACTGACCCTAACAAAGATAGTGTGTTGTATCCCCACCCTCAACATATAACATATATAGACACTACACACTCTCAACAGGGTCAATCAAAACAGTTGTAATCGTTCCTCATACTTTAATATATTATTGTTGTATACTTCCAGACGTCCAAGCGTCCCCCGTCCGCGGCCAGTTTGTTCCGTTCGTCCATGTCGTCTCTAGTGAGCGGTCTGTCCAGTAAGGAGCCCTTCTACGTGCGATGTGTCAAGCCCAACCCTACACAGTCGGCACACATGTGGGACGAACAACTGGTGAGTATATGACAATCACTACTAATATTATAAATGCGAAACTAACTCTATTTGTCTGTCTGTTACGCTTTCACGCCTAAACCACTGAACTGAACTGATTTTAATGAAATTTTGCATAGATAGAGTTGACCTTGAGAAAGAACATAGGATAGTTTTTATCTCAGACTTTTGAAAGGTTCTCTTGGAAACGCGATATAACCGAACACCACGTGGGCGAAGATGCGGGCGGAAAGCTAGTAAGATATATACAGAACTATACAGCTATAGGGATATATACTGTTGCTTTTAACAGATTTCAATAAATGAGTATATACTTACAAATTATCAAATGTGAACTCAAGTTCATATTAACGGTGTTGCACTCATTTCCTTCAAACGAATTTTACTATCTTATGAATATGGTAATCTAGGTGATGTGTTGACGCAGACATTAGTGGCTCTCGATTAAAAATTATAGTAGTCGTAAATATAAATATTAAGCTAAATAACTTCTTCACAGACAACGAAGGAAATAAATAGGAGAAATATACCTCCGTGACTTAAACTTTAACATAATGTTTTTATCAATCGAAAAAACCATGTTTTTAAAGAAAAGCGAACAAAAACCGTCAGTACGCCAAAGCAAACAATTTATTATATATTTTGAGCATAAAATCAATCTAACATTGTTAACAACTTAATTGATTCGACGTGCCGAACCTTTGGAAACTTTAGTCGCTGTTACGAATTGTTAAACGAATCTTTGCTTAATTTCCTTAAAGCCGTTATACATTCTGTTAAGTCCTATATCTAAGTTTTTTATTTAATACGGCTCTCTCTGACATGGTCAGAGACTTTGTTTACAGTTTTGCAACTCTTTCATACTAGTTCTCGCATTCATTAGGGCCTTTCATTCCGCATACTTGTTCTTTCTGTCATTCATCACTTTCATACTTTCTGACCAGTGTACCTATTTTAATACTATTGCTTTTTATTTCTTTTTTTCCTTAGGTTGTAGGGAGTTGTCGTAGTCTTTATTTCTTTATTCCAATTAAAATACATTCCAATATAAAATAATACAACTTATATCTAAGTTTATTCCCTGTGTGTTCCCAGGTCCGTCACCAGGTGGCGTACCTCGGTCTAGTAGAGAACGTCCGTGTCCGTCGCGCCGGGTTCGCGTCCCGCCAGCGCTACGACCGGTTCCTCAAGCGGTACAAGATGCTGTCCCAGTACACGTGGCCCAACTTCCGCGGAGCGAGCGACAAGGACGCGGTCATGGTGCTGCTTCGGGATCTACACGTGACAGACGTGCAGTTCGGACACACTAAGCTCTTCATACGGTATTTATTACGAATTATATGAATAACATACATAATATTTATGGGTTTAGATGTAGTATAAGTATATATATACTCAAACTCAAATAACTTTATTCAATAAAGAAGCATTACACTTTCTAATTGATGGTCACTAGAGACACTACCACCGGTTCGGAAAAGAAAGTACCCTGACCTGAGAATTTATATGAAAAATATGTATTTATTATTATAGTATTTATTATATTATTAATATTTATGTAAGTGTTAAAATCTGTATTATATTATATTATTAAGAGCATCACATATTGGATATATACCTGCACACTATCTCTTACAGCTGTTGGTTGGCTGGAAGAAATTTCTTTTACAAATAAACCCGCCATTGTGAACAATGGTTTTATATGTAAACTAACCCTGTAAATTTACAGTGCAATAAAGAGTATTATATTTATGGTCATACTACAACCTACTAATAGACTTGGGTTTGTCCAGAATTAACATCAATTTATTTTTGGAAATAGGCAAACCTAGTAGGTTCTTTTGAAATTTGGTTAAGTAGAGAGAGGAGCTTGGACAGTGGAGGTGAGCGTTTAACGATGGACCCGACACCCGTAAGGTGAATACATTGAATAATGAGGGGTTTTGTCTTTTTATGTGTCATTTTATCTGAGTCTATGTGACTACTTCTATGAGTATAAGTAATGAGTGAATATATAACAATATTTTCAAGTAAAATTATTGTTAAGACTCATTCTGTTTAGAGAATACTTGTTACATAGAGGACCTAATACTATGTTGGCAATTATATTGTTTGTAACATACTATATAATTATATGGTTTCATCTCACATATATGTATGTCAAATTACCCACATTCTTCAGGAGTGCTCGAACTCTTCACGAGCTGGAGCGCGCCCGTTCGGAGCTGATCCCATCCATAGTAGTGCTACTACAGAAGCTGTGGAGAGGAACCCTCGCCCGCCAGCGGTACAAGAAGATGAAGGCCGCGCTCGTTATATACAATGCGTGGAAGTTAGTACTACACATACATTTTAACATGACTGTTTAGAACATTGATACTCATATTTAAATACGTACACTGTAATTGATAGTTATGTTCCAGAAGAAATTTTCGGATTTATTCTTTAGTAATATATCTTAATATTGATCTCGTGGTTTATATCTCTTTAGCCTACCAAAAAAAGTTTTCATAACTTCTTTTAGAACAGATTTTAAATCAATGTGACTTTAATGTTTAATCGTAGCTTTAATCCTCCATACATATATATTTCATTGTTACATATCCTGTGTGTTTTCAGACGGTATCGCTTCAGACGTTACATATCAGAGCTACAATCTATTCTCTCTCGTCATCGTAACACAATTCCTTCCTGGCCGGTCGCGCCCCGCGGGGTGGCTGTCTCTATACTTCAAGCAGCCTATCGTCGTTGGCGCGCCTACCTCACACTCAAACCGATCCCACGGGAACAATGGCCTCAACTCAAACTCAAGATATCGGCGGCTAGCGTGCTCAAAGGCAGGAGGTCACAGTGGGGGGCTGCGAGGGAGTGGAGGGGGGATTATCTGGCTATTAATTCGTATAACGATAAATCATGTAAGTGTCTCTATACATACATTTATATATATACTAGCTTTCCGCCCACAGCCTCGCCCGCGTGGATTTCGGTTATATCGCGTTTCCAAGAGAACCTTTCAAAAGTCTGGGATAAAAACTATCCTATGTTCTTTTCAAGGTCTACTCCATTTCTGTACCAAATTTCATGAAAATCAGTTCAGTGGTTTAGGCGTGAAAGCGTAACAGACAGACAGAGTTACTTTCGTATTTATAATATTTGTAGGGACTAGCTGATCCATCAAAAAAATTATTTGCGATATAAAGAAATAAGGGTTGGTGATAAAAAAGTAAAAATTTTGGGTTGTAAGTATTTTTTAAGTCCACATTATAAAAAAATAAAACAAAAAAATTCGTCCGTAATTAAAAAAAATAATTAAGGGTGAACAACCCTTATCACTTAGGGGTATGAAAAATAGATAGTCGCCGATTCTCACACCTACTGAATACGTATATAAAGTTTGGTAAAAATTGGTCACGCCTTTCCGGAGGTGTACGGGAACGAACATTGTGACACGAGAATTTTATATATAAGATATTTACATATATAATCTGTACTTATCATTCCTTCCAGCGTCCTACATATCGTCCATATCAAGCCTACAGCGTTCCCAGTCCCTAGGCCGGCCCCTGTTCTCGTGTCGCGTGTTCAAGTTCAACCGCTACAACAAGATGTCTGAGCGCTGCCTGCTTATCACCGACACGTGTCTGTACAAGTTAGACGCGAGCTCCTTCAAGCCGCTCAAGAAGCCCACGCCCATCACCGAGGTAACATATAACACTTGTACTATAAACTTATTTACTTACTTATTTACTTATTTACTTATTATTATTATTATTTATACATTACAAATTTCTTTTACGGTGTTACAAAATCCCTGTCGGGTTTATCCGTACACCGGCATTCATTGAGAGCACTCGGAACTTTTGGTACATAAATATACTACCTATAACATTATAAACTACATAGGATTTTGAGTAACTGATGTTTGTTCAATTATAGCTCATATGTGAGGGTATACGTTAAAAGATTTTTAAATTACGTTAATAATACACTAGGCACCTACGATGCACTAATCGACCGGTCGGTCATTAAAACCGGTTTTGCGATAATGTATTTGAAAGAAATAACTTGTAAATAGTTCAAATACAGGATGATCCGTTTCCATTTATGAGATATTAATTAATTTTATTTAATTAGGTATATTAAGTATTTTCATTAATATTTAAAAAATATTCTTTAAGTTTCTTCTTTATATTTTTTGTACTTATTTCATGTTTTAAATCATTAGTCAGATTGTTCAATAATTTTGGAACAAGATATTTTAGGGTTCGCCTACCGTATAGATTGTTAGTACGGGGTACGACAAGTCGTTCGTTCGATACACTGCGGGTTACTATTTCATGATTGATCGTTTTTTGAAAATCTCGATTAAAAAAGTTTTCTAGTAGTAGTGTATATTTTTTAAACGTCTTTACGACTCACAATTTTTGTTCAAATAAACATGACATGGAAGCTTTTTTATTGCTATAAATTTATTGGACGACTAGGACCCAGTTTCACCAATCAATGTTAGATAAGTAACACCGTGTTAAGGCGTTTGATGCTCTGTTAGATGTATCGAGCGTCCCACCACGCACATTTGTCCGTTTAAATATCTCAACAAGCCACTAATATTAATTCCTGCTCTGGAGTTCCGTCTAATGTCTGACAGAATGTTAATACATTGTCAAAACTCAATCGTCCAATCACATCCCTGATTTCTTGTAACCATAGCAACGTCATCTGTTTTTGTTCATAACATTGCAAATGAAATTTTCTTTTTATCTCTTATAATTTGAACACAATTTATGCCTATATTTATAACATAATAATATATAACACAATTTATTGACAACACGATTTTGACAGGTAACACCTAGTAAATTGAAAAGAAAGCTTTTTGTGTGCTAAATGTATGCAACCAACGATATATAAAATTTGATCGCATTAGCTTACAAGTGACGTATCGAGGGATATATACGATCAAAGTATAAAGAGGTGCATCGTGGCAAACGTGCCGTGTTATACGCTATAGTTTCCACTTGGTCGTCTTATAACAAGAACGAATAATTTGGTAGTCGGTCATTTGACATGACGTTTAATAATGCGTTGTTATTTTGTCATCGTGGGACGTAAATATTTTAACAGACATTTATAATTTTGAAGGTTGGTTAGTAAATGCTGTGATTAGACTAAACAAACATTGATTGGTGAAACTGGGTCTAAGTCTTCTATTACAATTAAATGTAAACGGTTTTTTCTTCGGATAAATTAGAACTAGTGTTTCTGAAGTCTCTCATGTTGTGTGTGTGTGTGTGTGTGTGTGCAGGTGGGCGGCGTGCGTGTGATGAGCGGCGAGGCGCAGCTGGTGGTGGTGGTGGTCCCCGGCGCCAGGAACGACCTGGTGGTGGGGCTGGTGGCGCCCCCACACACGGACATGATTGGGGAACTGTTAGGAGTACTCGCGCATACATACCACAGGTACGATATATTTATGTAATATGTATACACTATAATTGTTTTTGTGAAGACCAAGTGGTGCTTGAATATCTTCCAACTAGTCCCTTATTAGGATTTTCATCGTCAAACTACGTACGGAGCGTTCATGATTTTTAATTAATAAACCTTAGTTAAATACTTACATGTACCAAAACTCAATGTTACTACCTATTAATGTATTCATTTTGCAATTTAATTTGTAGTTTCTTAGTAGCTGTAATTCTTAAAAATACGGACGGGTGGCGGTAACATTATCGACAACCAATTAATTATTGTAGTTGAAGATTGTTTTAATACAAAGTACGTCATAATTACTTGAATTAAAGTGTAATATTCCATGAGAGTAACAACGAATGCATCCTTCGTCAGGTTGACCGGGTCAGAATTACCGGTGGAGGTGGAGAGCGGCGCCAGCACCAGGTGTATCCTGGGAGGGAAGACGCGCGCCCTGCAGCTACCACCCCCCACCACCACAAGCCCCTCCCCCACCAACACAAGCCCCGCCCCCTTCACACACGCACACAACGTCATCACCTACCACCCGGCCTCCGCGAGGGCCTAACACGTGATACACGAACACGTAGCTTGTATTCATTGTTGTGATATATTATTTTTTATGTCTCTAGTACTTAATTACTTCACGTCTTTTCACTCGTTTATGAAGTATAGCATCACATGGATGAAATTAATTTAAGCGTATTTAATATAACAATTATTTTTGTTATTTTCGCACATAGAATGTTTTTTTTTTTTTGTAAATAAATAACGATCGTTTAATGTTTGTAATTTTAAGTTATTTTTTTATCTAATTTATTGTAAATTCCGTTTTATTCACGAGCTGATGAATTCTTTATATTTATTGATTATTACGTAACTTCTGTTTGTTTAGTTTCAAACCACTTTAGTATTATGTATGACAAACATTGTATATAAAGTAAGTTGTATATTAAGAGGCGCCCTCTATCGACGCTGTGTTGTTGATGAGTGACGATGACGATGTGCCTTCAGCCGGTGCCGGTGCCATGTCCTTTGTTTAATAAACGGAATATTTATTATCTTTCTGTTTTTATTTCTGAACCCTTTAACAAAGACTAAGAAACATACATTAGAAGGTGGTTGTATTTCTTAAACCAATATATATTGGTGTCTACGAGCCTACACATAGAGAGCAATCGGGAGTTCCGAGTTACGCGTTCCGCGTTCAGCGTTCGTTGAAATATACCGAATTTATGACAAAAACGCACACATAGAGCAGTCTGACCGCGGCGGACAAAGCGTAACGTCGCGTTCCAAGAGTTATTTTCCCGCCAGGACGGCAGAAATGCGATGCGATGCGATGAGTTTGCAAAACACGCAATTAGAACGCGAGAATTTGCACGCAACTTGTGTGCGTTGGAACTCTTGGGCGGTTAACGGTCACTAGAATGCAGAACTCTGACCGCTCTCTTTATGCGCGGGCTCTATATAAACATATACAAAAAGAATTAGAACTTGTACAATACTTAGATACAGCAATGGATTTTACAAAATAACAGTTGTCAAGAAATAATGATAGTTTATTCTGAGGCAGAGCTTTGAAACATGAGACTTTAAATAAAATACATTAAGACCCTCGTGAAAACAGATATACAGTGACGTACAAGTTAAATTTTTATAGCTCTCAATAATAATGAACAAGAAAACATCAAAAATTATACAAAAATTTCGTCTGGAACTATAATATAATTGGACTAGCTTTTGGCCGCGATTCCGTCCGCGTGGAATAGTGACTCCCGCCAGATTTTTGGTTCTTCCCACATAGTTCCCGTTCTTGCGGGGTTTTCGGAATGGTCGAGTTCCCGTAGAATTTTCAGGATAAAACCTATGTTTTTTTTATTCACAATGAAGTACTCTTAACCAACAACATATTTATTTGTTTATTTGAATAAAGATTAATATTATTATGTTGATACAACTTAAACAAATTATTTCGACCAAATTAGGTACCATAAAAACGGTTTTTGTGAGTTAATCTTAAAAGATAGACATATACTGTCGCGGACTGTTTTTTGGATCATTAAAAGAGCTATTATTCTTTGATACATATTTTTTGTGTATCTTGAACCGTTTTCACGACGCACGCAACGGAAGGCTTCAAAGATGAAATAATATCTCCCGTTTTTTTACACATTTACCACTATATCTTTGCTCCTATTTGTCGTAGTGTGATGTTATATAGCCTACAGCCTTCCTCGATAACTGGACTATTCAACACAAAAAGAATTATTCAATTCGAACCAGTAGTTTTGGAGATTAGCGCTTTCAAACAAACAAACAAACTCTTCAGCTTTATAATATTAGTATAGATAAAATATACTATCGATATGTTTGCACTATAAAGGACATACGTATACCAAATAATACGTATTACCTACTTCTGAATAAAAACTTTGTCATTCATAAAGCTTTTGTTTTCTTAAAAACCTTTTGCTTTAAAAGAAGAAATATTTATTGCTAAGTCCGAGCCAGATCACGACACGTTGTTCAGTAGATGGAGTAAACATTATGGCGTGAAATTAAATTCATATGTATTATTCTTTGAGTTTAGACTACAATTGGTAGTCCACTGTGAAATTATATTCTTAACATTACATTGGTATTCAAATAGAATAAAGAAATTATTATTAAGAAATGAAGTTCAACGAGACCTTGAAATAATAAGCCCAAATCTGTTGTTCTTACCATCGCTCTAGTTCTGACCAGACCTTGCCAAAGGTAAATGTGGAAACTGCGGCAACCAGTACGACCGAGCCACCCTAAAATTATGGACTATACTAACCGCCTGTTATGGAATAGCTACCCTACTATCCTACTCCCCTATTAACCTACTAACTGCGAAAAGTCAGCGGAGGAGGGCGAGGAGCAAGAGCACCGTTTTCCCCCATAATCAAGCACATGACACTACGAAGGGCTTGGTGTGTCTAACTCCGCTCACCTGTTAACCCATACTTTTATCTTTAATGGATTACAAACGGGAACTGTGTTATGGCTTTTGATTCAAGAAATGTTGTACTTACTTAATTTTTATCTGCACGTAATTATTTATAAGTTTACCTTCATCTCCTTATGATTCGAAGCTTGACTTGTTTCAAAGAAATCTATAAGTAAATAAAAAAGGTCTTAAATATCATGGAATGTTGTAGAAATTTTCAGTTTTAGAGAACGTATAAAGTGGAATATTCTCGATCGTCGGAATTAGTTGACATTGTTTTGATAATTAGTCACTGTTTAGTGAATACTTACCAACACTTGACTTGGTTCCTATACACTATACAGTGATGTATATTTCGAGGTTTCTCATTAACATACACAATAAAACGTATGTTAAGAGTTAATTGCTAAACATTATTAAAGCTTAACTAATTGAGTTTCAGTACAGCCACCTTTCCTTATTAAAAATACTACGAGTAAGTGAACTAAATATCTGTCATGAGATTAAGATTAAGATAACAGGATCGCTTAAAAATAATCTGAAAATTATGTTTTATTAATACTTAAAATACAATACATAAATATAATAAACTTTGAGCCAACTAATTTTAAACTGCTAGTATATTTAAATATATATAATCAATGTTTAACATAGATTAATTCTGTTTCTAGACTTTTCAGTCGTTAGAATGAGCTGGAAGGCCAATGAGGTCCAGGTCAATTAGAGACGGTCCACTGGATATAAGACAAGGTTATATACCTTAACAAAAAATGGAAATCCGTAATTCGCAAGATCACAACTCAGTTCACTTTAATTTTGAGCAAAAGTTTATGTGAAAAAACTTGTTGAGACTAATTATTGAGTATTATGTATTAGGTTACATATATTCATTTCTACCATTTGTTGCACTTTTGAACTTGCGAATATTATTATATAGGGATGTTCTTAAAAGACCGTTGTCATAGTTTATGGTATTTTACTTATGATTTAAAAGGCAACAGGAAGAGAATTAAACATGACCTAAGTGCACTTAGACCACTTATATGACGTTTAAAGGAAACGTTAACTCAATTTTAATTGGAAGCGTAACACCAACTCGTGCTAGCCAGATCAAATATAAATTACTCTACAGCACTTAAAATACCTGTAATATGTATTAAAAAATTGTTAACAACCTTTTATAAGTAAATTGCAAGTTTGTGACAAGTATCATATATTGTAAATGTTGTTACTATTATTAAAATAAACACTAAATGTTGTCTAGTACATTCTACGTTGCTTTACGAAAAAAGATATTTCTGGAATAAATATACGTCTTCATAGTGCTCATTAAAGTTGAATATAAGTTTTACTTGGGATACGGCCGACAATTTTAAACGTATACCTTAATAACTTAACAAATTAATATTATATATATACTTATTTATGTTATTCATATAGCATGAGATGTGAGAAGCTGTACTAAAGCTTTCCGCCCACCTCCCACCCCCGGTATAAATACAGTGCTCGCTACGAAGGTCAACAGTAGACTTGTAGCGAGACTGACGGAGTGATTTAAACATTAAACGAGATACAACCAGGATGTGGAACATCAGGTATGTATGGTATATAAAATATACATCTAGTTGCTATATATATTGAATATAACACACGAGTATTGATCCCAAATGAATATTCCGATGTAGCCTTGAACTTCGATCGAAAAAGTGCATTATATGGCGTCTCATCAAAATGTTACCTAATGAATTCACATGCATTGCATCCTTAAACTGAACTACATTAAAATTTATATTTCATACATAAATATTCTTTGAAACTTATTTATTGAAGCTACAGGTATATCGAGAATGCAGTTTTATTTGTATAAAGACCTTCATCTAACATCGATTGATGTACCAATCTGTGCTATTTGTAAATGATTGGGAACGTACATTAAATGTAGGAATATATCTTACACTAATTATATAAAACAGTTTTTTAGTTCGGAAAAGTTAAGAGTGAAATGAATTTACGTGGGAAAATCATATTCGATATTGCATTAAAATAGCGCGTAGTTATTCGAAAACATGTACGCTTCAACCAAATTGTTGTCTTGAAGTGAAAAGGAGGTTTTTTAAACATTATATTATATGCACATATATTTGTTGGTTTGTACATGTATTTTTCAATGGCAAGCAGATTAATAAGACGGATTAGTTACATTGTTTACTAAAAAAATATTTGTTTACGCTTTTTTATCAAATTTAATTCGGGGCGATATATTTAAAAGTATTTCTTAGCTTCACGGACAATGCTCAGGAATTGAGCATTCAGCTTTCTGTTATGAAGTTTGTGACAACTGACAAATACCTAATACTAACAATATTAAGAATAGTTCACTGGATATTCTCCACAAGAATATTTGAAATAACTAAAGCATTTAAAAAAATGATAATACTTAATTGTAATAAGTAATACCATAAGATTATGGCAGATTTACAAATGTTCGTTTCTATAAAATCTATTTTAACATACTTTAAAGAACTAGTTTCAATTTTCAGATACAGTTGTTTCAGACAGAGTTTCATACACAAACATCTCTGACTATAATTTCCACTAATATAACTGAGCGTTATTGGGAGGAAGGTTATAGAATAATAAATAATTAATATCTGTTAAACTTTTCCTGAATGCTAAATAAAAATGGAAAAATCAAACACGTCAATAGCAACCGCTTTTAATTTTATTTTTAAGCAGTATTCATATTTTTTTTTCCGCCTACATTATAAAGATGAATGACAGGATTTTGAAACCATTTTTCCAATTTTAATATCCAAGCCAGCCTAAAATAAAAATCAAATCGTCATTTTTAACAAAGGTTTTCTAAGAAGACAAAACGATATTAGAGGGTTGTGTCATTAAAAAAAAATAAGAAGACTTCAAAGCCATTAACTTTTAATATGAAGAGAGTTTCAATTGTTTAGAAAACAGTTCAACATTAAGCAATTTAACCTTATTATTTTGCAAACAAAGCGATAATGTATTGTAATTAACTGCAGCTAAATTGGATGCCATGTAAAAAACAAGGTCTTATTAAAGAACAAGTAACATTTAAACAAAATAAAAGTATTATTACAAGCACTTATATTAAAGTTCTAAATGTAGCTACGCACATTCCCATCACCTTTCTATTTTGTTAGAGGTAACCATGAGACCAACCATATTCTTCACGTTCATAGTTGTAGCAACTGTTTTGCAAAGTGATATTATTCTGGGAAAACACGATTTACTGATAGAAGAAGACGCGAGGCTGGACTTCATGGGTCTAGCGACGAAGTATGGTCACCCAGCGACACGACACGAGGTGACCACGGACGATGGATACATTCTAACACTCTTCCACATTCCTGGCAGAAGCAAACTACCTGTCCTTCTTATGCATGGTTTTCTGGACACAGCAGATATTTTTTTATTGAGAGGAAATGATTCGATGGGGATCGCCTTAGCTAATGCCGGCTACGACCTATGGTTCGGTAACTGCAGAGGCAGCAGATACTCACGGAGACATCGAGATCTCGATCCAAACAGAGATAGCAGTTATTGGAGCTTCACTTTTCATGAAATGGGATATTACGACCTTCCAGCTCTCATAGATAGAGTTTTAAATGAGACTGGAGCTCCGAGCCTCACAACAATCGGTCACTCACAAGGGACCACCATCTTCTTCGTCCTGGGCTCCACGAGACCGGAGTACAACTCCAAGATTAACGTCTTCATAGCTCTTGCTCCCGTGGTCTATCTACAACATTTACCTCTCCCTTTTCAAACAATATTAAATTCACTGCCCGTAATATACAAAATACTAGCGAGTGCAAATATACAGGTGAATGAATTTTTAGGATACGACAGTGTCCCGACCATGTTACTCAGAACTTTTTGTCCACAGAACTTTATAAGTTATCAATTTTGTTTAAACCGATTTTTTTATCCTGTCATCGGCTTTGACCCGTTTACATTTGATCAAAGGTATCTAAGTATATTTCTGTACCATTATCCTGCGGGGGTCTCTTGGAGAGATTCTTTACATTTTACTCAGATAAGTAAAAGCAGATTATTCAGACGTTACGATTTCGGAAATGATAAAAACATGTTAATGTACAATTCCACCAGTCCGCCGTTGTACCAGCTGAGGAGAGTCACAATGCCAGTGGCTTTGATAGTTGCTAGGAATGATCCAATTTCAACACTGAGTAATGTTGATCTATTAAAACATCAATTACCTAACGTTGCGGATTATGTTGTGATCCCGTGGTTACTTTTCAATCACGGTGATTTTCTGTCACTTCAAACAGCGCGAATACATTTATTTCCACAAATAAAACGTGTTTTGATACGTTTCAATCGAATATAATTTTTTGTATTGTATTATTTCGAATATAATTAATCTATAACATTTGCTTTTTAGAATTTGTTTTTGAAAGCCATTAAAGAAAGTTATTTAAAGAAGCATATTTTGAAACATGTTAGAAATGTTTTAAGTTATGCAAATATGATTTTTATTTACCCTATTTCCAATAATTATAATCCCAAAGTCAGATTCTGCCTCTCTGGACTCTGGAGAAAGACGCAACAGTATTAAGAACGAGATATTGTGGACGATATAATTTATTATAAATCCTCGAGGAAAGAAAATTATTTAATATAAAATAAATACATTTATACATACATACATATACATTTCAGTTTGATAACAAGGCTATTGATTTGACGGAACATATATAAAATTATCAGGACTTTAAAAAAACACATTAATGAATATACGTAAATTAATTAATCAATTAACAGACATAGTCACTATGAATTCAATTCTTTATGTTCTTTAGCCAACTTATAATAGTTATTCTTATATTTTTTTTATTCTCATAACTTTAGAAAGATTATTTTAAAAGATATTTTTAAAGTCGTATCGTTATTTTTTAGAAATAAAATCAAAATTCAGATATCAGTTTCACATCACGTAGAATATTTCTAATTCCTCGATGTTGTTATTTCATAAATATTAATATCAATGTAAGGCCCGTGATGAGTGACTTATTTCTCGTTTGCTTGTTATTATTACCACATTCAATAAAAGTATTCCTATTGTTCAGGTCCATATTTTCATCAGCTTGTGCTGTTGTATTATTGACTCTCCTCGTGTCATCTGCTGCTACTGATTTGTATGTGGACAAGTCCAGACTAGACAATGATTCTGAATATAAGGTGGGGACAGCATTTAGCAAGGTAATGAAAGGAAAATTCTATTTGCCACATAGAAGTTATGTTGTGATATATATTTTTAAATAAGTATGAACTTATTAAGTCTTAATTGTTTATTATAAAAATACATAAAATTCATCATAAAAAATAATGTATAACAATCAATTAATAGAATTAATCAATTGATCGATCACATAGAAGTTACAAATTTTTTATTCTGAATTTTTAGAACATCACATGTTATATTTTACTCTTTAGATTTCTATTCAAAATATTTACCTATAAAAACAGGTTGATAATGAGAATACAATTTATCCCGTGGCTGAGTATGAAGACCTTGGACGTGCTGGAGAGGATCCCAGGAACAGTCTGAATGAAAAGATGATGCAATACACTGAGAGACTCACTGATGACGAAGATAGACGGTACATTTTTATATACTTATTAAACGCAATATCCCTTGTTATTTATAAGGCAGTTGTACGTTGAATATGAATAGACATTTTCCCTGCAGTAAATACAATATCTGTCCATCACTTGAGCAGTTTGCAAACAGACTGAATATATATTATGTGATTTTATTACCAACGAAAATACTCAAATCTTAGTGACTTATGCTGACGGTTATCTGAAAGAAATCTTCTATACTCTATCTAAGGATTATTGAGATATTAAGAGAAATTATGAGAGAAGAGAAGGACTTAGAATTTTGAGCTATATAATTAGTACATTGAATGAGCAATCGATAAATACTTATACATTAAAAGGAAATGACACCAATCGTAACAAAAAACAATTTATATTCATGAAGTCAATTTCCCTGTACCTACCTTTATTATCCTAAATGTACATATATATAACGACATGGTTAAACAATTAACAAAGAACCTATTGGAAATAATTATCTATGTTGTTAAAAAGTTACTTCAGTTAGATAAAAAACAAGAGAACGTTAAAAAAATTATGATTCCTAAAGAGAGTTAGTTCTTAAACATCATATCATATAATATAATGTCGTGTCATAAAGATAGCTTTTATTTTTAAAATATTTATTTACCTCACAATGTTTGTATATTTCGAATCAAATGTAATCTATTCTAAAAATGTATATTTGCTAATCAGTATAATTTCATTAGAAAGTAAATAATAAACAACGGCACGGATTCTAAACCTAGCAAGTACCAATGTTATTTTTTCCGAGTTATATGAACTTTCCAAGAGTATCTAGACACCACTAACAGACGATGAAAGAAATCACTGTGAGGAAACATGAAACAAAATCATAAGTTTGAAATCGCAAATCCCCCTGAGCAAGCGTGGTGATTAATATTTTAACCTACTCCATGTGAGAAGAGGCCTTTGCTCAGTAGTGGGCACCGATAGGCTGATGACGATGATAAACTAAACACATACAATGTCCATTTTTTCATATGCTTACGTTAATACGATAATTAAAACCCGATATTGCTTACCCCACGTTTGCAGCGTCACACAATATACTGAGCGTTCGTAGCTTTCATTCATAAAACTTCCCGCACATAGTAATAACGTAGGCTACTGAATAGGATAATGGAAACTTGTGCTCATCATACTGTTGCTGTGTTTGATGCAAATTAAAGCAAGGAAAGGATATCAGTGTTACCAAATGTGATTTTAAGAACAATAGCGTGTTTATTATTTGGATAAATTAATTGCATTTAAGTCGTATTAATTAATTTGAAACTTCAATTAAAATTACAAAACATTTTATAGATATGAATATTTAATTTAAATATAAAATTTCTTAATCAGCCCATCGCCGAAAGTCGAAGCTAAGTATTCGAGCTGGTCTGAACTCGCCGGTCTGAAGGATGTCGGCATCAAGAAGTGGGTGACGGCGCTCAGCAACAACGTCAGCTCCAAACTCTTACCGAAGAATCGCCGTCAACTGAAGTGGAGGAAGGGTAACTAACAGATACATATGCCTTAGTTATATATTTTGTTGCTATAAAAATATAGCATGAAAAAAATCAGAGTTCAAATTCATTTATGAATAAGCGAAATATGCATATTCCAATCATATTGGAATGAACGAAAATAAATCACAAGAACATGCTGATAATCATTCCACATCATATTTTGCAAATAATGTTTCGTTTTGTTTCGTTTGACTTATAAACTTACTGTACCTCTGTTCCAGGCACCACTGTTGTCTGCTACCTGAAACTGTGTTCCTTCAAGCAACCTTTCTGAGAGGAAACTTCATCGGGAGTCTTCAGCAACCAACACGCGTTCAAACCGAACATTCACCGAGTCACTATTTACGTGATGTTGCATCTGTTGCAGCTCGTAGGACAATTGATTTTAAACCCATTTTTATTAGATGCGTAATTTATTTGTCTCAGATTTACTCTTGGATTAAATCGTAGTTGTAGAATTCTGTTAAAAAAATTCTATCCAATAAAGTGTTTATGATGTTCTTTTTGTTTGTTAATGAACCTGTCATCTTTTTATGATGTTTATAAATAAATGTCTTCTCATTATAAAAATGCTAATGAGCGATATATTATAAATAAAAAAAATCACACATTTATTTAAACGTATTAAAGACAAGGCTTTAATTCATTTCTCCTGTTTAATTACTGGCAGCAGAAAGGTACACAATATATTCCGCCAGCGTCACGTTGTCTGAATTCTATAGTGTACAGAATCTTAAAATTAAATAATAAACTTAAAATAATATAAAAATTATGGGTAGTGTTACAGTTGAATACGAATCAATCTATCTACTCATACAGTTTTACGTTAATTATGGGAGCGGATCCTGTCCTTTTCACTCAAGTGGTTGCTACTAATTGTCTGTAACGGATTGCCACCCAACTCTATTATCCTTTTTGGACGCCCTAGGATTATGTTGAAGTAGAAAAGTATATAATTTTTGGGTATAAGCTTTAAAATTCGGCATAGCAGGCAGGCAGCTAGGCAGGGCTAGTACAAATGTGACTGATGAAATTACTGGGACTTCGGATGTCTTTGGAAGCGAACTATAAATACCAATATCAGAGAGTGCTTAACATGAATTAAAAAATCAAAAGTAGTTGACTTTTTTGATTAAGAGACTTTGGCAGGCAGTCAAAGAGGCTGAGCAGTTAGGTCAAATCTAGTAATTAACGTGATCGTGTACCGCCTTCGTTTTTTATTTAGGCCACAACTGTTTTGGTGCGGCTCTGAAAAAATACTATCAAATTTAAACTTCACTTATCACTTTGGCTGAAGTTGTGGTTATTACTGCATACACTCCTTTCTATTTGCACTACTCCAATTAGCCTGTTATCATATAATTGCTCGCAAGAGCTTCTCAAAGTTTAGGGATCTCAAAAAGCGTTGTATCTATTTTTAATTTTAGGCGTCTGGAGATTAGCTTAGCTAAAAAGATTACTTTATCATTATGGGGGAAGTATTAAAGAAGTTACGAGTTTTTCTTCAAAAAGAACATATTCTTTACTCTATAAATAACATTAAAACAATAACCACAAGGCACTAGTAAGAGTCTGAATAATTCAAAATTATCTACATCAAAAAAAAAAAACAGTAAGATAACCAGTCTAACAAACAACTTTGTTCCTAAGTATATCTTTACTCCTGATTCAGTGTTCTAATCAATATTTCAACAGTGAATATCGTGATATAAATTACAAGAAATCTCAATATTCATAAGGAAATTAACACTAAATTTGATGAGTTTTTAAAAGCAGCTTAAAAATAATTTATGTTTAAAACAAATGAACATGTTGTGTAATAAACAAAAAATAAACCATTATGTATTTTGGCGTCAAAACTAGCAAAAAACGCGATAAGGATTTCTAATTACTTGCCAGCTAAATTGGATGCCATGTAAAAAAACGTCATATAAAAGAACACGGAACATTTAAATAAAATAAAAGTATTATTATAAACACTTATATTAAAGTTCTAAATGTAGCTACACACGTTTCCCCCGTCTTGCTATGTTGTCAGTAGTAACCATGAGACCAACTGTATTCTTCACGTTCATAGTTGTAGCAACTGTTTTACAAAGTGATATAATTCTAGGAAAACAGGATTTTCTGATAGAAGAAGACGCGAGGCTGGACTTCATGGGTCTAGCGACGAAGTATGGCCACCCAGCGATACGACACGAGGTGACCACAGATGATGGATACATTCTAACACTCTTCCACATTCCTGGCAGAAGCAAACTACCTGTCCTTCTTATGCATGGTTTTCTGGACACAGCAGATACTTTTTTATTGAGAGGAAATGATTCAATGGGGATCGCCTTAGCTAATGCCGGCTACGACCTATGGTTCGGTAACTGTAGAGGCAACAGATACTCACGGAGACATCGAGATCTTGATCCAAACAGAGATAGCAGTTATTGGAGCTTCACTTTTCATGAAATGGGATATTACGACCTTCCAGCTCTCATAGATAGAGTTTTAAATGAGACTGCAGCTCCGAGCCTCACAACAATCGGTCACTCACAAGGGACCACCATCTTCTTCGTCCTGGGCTCCACGAGACCGGAGTACAACTCCAAGATTAACGTCTTCATAGCTCTTGCTCCCGTGGTCTATCTACAACATTTACCTCTCCCTTTTCAAACGATTTTAAATTCACTGCCCGTAATATACAAAATACTAGCGAGTGCAAATATACAGGTGAATGAATTCTTTGGATACGACAGTGTCGCCACCATATTTCTCAGAACTTTCTGTCCACAGAACTTTATAAGCTCTCAATTTTGCTTAAACAATATATTATATCCTATACTAGGTTTTGACCCGTTTACATTTGATCAAAGATTCTTACGTATATTTTTCTACCACTATCCTGCTGGGGCCTCTTGGAGAGATCCTTTACATTTTACTCAGATAAGTAAAAGCGGAATATTCAGACGTTACGATTTCGGAAATGATAAAAATATGTTAATGTACAATTCCACAAGTCCGCCATTGTACCAGCTGAACAGAGTCACAATGCCAGTGGCTTTGATAGTTGCTAGGAATGATCCTATTTCAACACTGAGTAATGTTGATCTATTAAAACATCAACTACCGAACGTTGCTGATTATGTTGTGGTCCCGTGGATACTTTTCAGTCACGGTGACTTTGTGTGGTCGCAATCAGCGCCAATACATTTATTTCCTCAAATAAAACGTGTACTGTTACGTTTCAATCCAATATAAATTTAAATAAATTTTATTTGATTTTATCAACAGTTGTTTTTGAAACCCATTAAAAGAAAGGTAGGTAAAATCTATTTATGAAAAATATATGGACACCTATCTAGTCATGCTCATATGTTTCTGTGAAAAGATATAAGAGGTTTATTCAAAAACAAGCTTTTGTGGACGACTTCTTTCGCATAAATTTCGAAATTAGTAATATATGTATAGTTGACCGAGCGAACTCTATTCCACCCTAGTGGCCGTAAATAACCGGATATAGGAATTTATTAAGTAGTTTTTTCGTTGTCGACCGAAGAGAATTAAATATCCTATGTCCGTTTCATGGTTTTAAGCTATGTATTCACCAATTTGCAACCATATTCCTACAGCCGTTCTTGAGTTATAAGTGGAGTAACTAACAATAACAATGAACCTCAATGAAGCATTACTAGTATTGAAATGTAAAATGTTTGGTATAAAGTGATATGTCTATGAAGCACCTGTATGCATAGCGGAATTGCATGATCACAATACAAGCGAAACATTTTTCGTTATCATTCTATAGTATTATACGCGAATACTTTTACAAATGCAAAGTTGGCAGGAGCTTATTGATGGACCAGTTAGTCACTTGTAACTTATATTTCTCTAAATTCTGAAACTTCAAGACTGACCATCATTCCTCATAATATTGTTTTTTTTTATTCTATGTCTTCATTAGCACTGGAATCGTGGAATATTTTGACAATATCAATGTTTTTATTTGATGGACGAATCATAATCTTGAGTATTGTATGGAGAAAACCCGACAACATTCAGTCGTACATACATGTCGATACATGTTATTGATATTTGTGTTAAATTTTTTGTTGAGACGTTCTTGAGATATAGAAGCAAGACGGCCTTCCGAAAATATTCCCTCTTTTTCATATACATTTTTGGGATTAGATAGAGGTGATCTATTGATTTTCAACAAATTTTCATTGATTGTAACCGATATAGGAATATTACAGAACCGATGGTCTTTTAAGATGCCAATTGTAAGTAATTTTTAAACAGAGCTACGTCAGTAATTTATTTCATTTAATTTTTAAAATAATATTATATTTAGTCGGCATCTATTTTGTAACTAGTCCAAGGTTATTAATTATTCTATACCTACTCGTAATATTTCCCTCGTCAAACATATGTAGATAATTTTAGGAATAAAAGAATTACTTTTGAATGTGTGTAAATTAAAAAAAGTATTTTTTTGGGCATGTTATTAATGTGGAATACATTTGACATAATGCCTTAATTATCTTTATAAAAGGTACCTGAGCTACAGATCGTTTAAAAAAACTGTCCTATAAATCGACTCTTTATTGAACCGAGTCATACTAACTAATCATTTATTATTAGTACATACAAGGGCTATATTCAAATAAATTGTTTTATACTTAGAAACTATATGGGACGCGTTTTGAGTATATAGAGGTATGTTGTTGATAGTTGCATGTTACTCTGTACCTTTGTGCATAGTAATTTACATAATTAAACTCGACCAAGTGATCCGGAAATCTAATAACAGCACCCATTAAAGCTTAATTGAAGTTTCGATTGGATTGAATTTAAAATATATTACATATTACGTGTTACTTTCTCAGCTATTTAAAATATCTCTACGACATAAAAGAACGACATTTTTATATTCTTGTTATATTTACCGAAAATAAATAATTTTATTATTGACTTGAGAGAGCCCACTTATATTTTTCTCAGGAATATGGTACATATAGGGTGGCGCAAAAGTAAAGACCCTATTTGGTTCAGCTATAACATTTTTTCTAAATGAGAAAACTAGATTTAGGTTTTTTTAAATGTATATTTGTTCCATTAAATTTCGTACCATTAGGATTTAAAGATGATGTCTTTTAAATGGTGACCTCCAGAGTTGATACACAAAATTGGTTATGAGTGACGAAGCGCATTTCCATCTCTCAGGGCATGTCAATAAGCAGAATACTCGGTTCTGGGGCACTGATAATCCGCGCATTATTCAAGAAACACCTCTACACCCACTAAAAGTTACATCTGGTTTCAACAAGACGGCGCTACGGCACACACAGCGCGCGACACTATGGACTTAATGAGGGACGCTTTTCCAGGCCGAGTTATCTCTCGTTTTGGCGATTTGCCTTGGCCTGCAAGATCACCCGATTTGACCAGTCCAGACTTCTTTCTTTGGGGTTTTTTGAAATCTCGGGTGTATGTGAACAAGCCACAGACTCTCGCAGCTCTAAAAGAAAACATTCGTCAAGAAATAACGAACATATCGGAGGAAGTGTTACGGCAAGTTATGCAAAATGTCATAAATAGGGCTCAAATGTGTATCAACTCTGGAGGTCACCATTTAAAAGACATCATCTTTAAATCCTAATGGTACGAAATTTAATGGCACAAATATACATTTAAAAAAAACTAAATCTAGTTTCCTCATTTAGAAAAAATGTTATAGCTGAACCAAATAGGGTCTTTACTTTTGCGCCACCCAGTATATAATTTAATTTATAATACTTCTTCACGATTCCTTTACATTAAAAATATGCTATAGAAACGTTCAAACCAAAATGGTCTCTTTATTTTAAAAACAGTTTAATTTTACACAATTTATGATATTAATAAGAAAAGAAGAAACAGATAATAAATGATTTCCTTTGTTCATAAAAATGTCTCGACAAAATTTTGAAGGTACATCACTGCAACAATCCGAGCCAATTACATTTAAAATGAAATTAATTTTATATAGATCCCGAGTGTTCCAGATTATGTGAATGTAGAGGTGGTAGAGCCTAGCTGTAGTTAAGTTACTATAAATCAAACATGAGCTGGCTCGACCGGGGAAGTACCACCCTCTCCCAGAAGATCGGCGTGAAGTAACCTTTAGTGGTTGCGTTTCGTCCGATGAGTGGGAGAGTCGGTTGCCTTTTCCCTATTCCTAGCCTTTCCTGCTATTTCCCTATTCCCACCTTTCCTTTCCCTTAACAATCAGGGTTGGTAAAGCATTCGTAACAACTCTGTAGCGGATGTCCATGGGCGACGGTCACTAATGTCCATCAAATAGGCCGTCTGCTCGTTTGCCACCTTTGAGATAAAAAAATCCAGGTTTCATTTACATTTAGAATTTCATAACAGATTATTTGTTATTTATTATCTAAGATGAGTAGTGACATCATTTATTGAATTGAACAAATAATATGAGCAACTTCAGCAGAACGAGTCAACTTATACACAAGTTTAATGCTGATACAATTTTCGTATATCAGCATTTTTTATGGGTCATATTCATAAGATCACAATTACTGTGTTATTCATATGACATGTTTGTTTTTAATATTAAATTATAATATTTCGTTTGAAACTTTTGAAAGTGTTAAAAAGGCTGTGGAAATATTTGATATGGTGTGGGCGATAGTTTTATCAGCTTTAGGTGAGTAAAGACGTTTTAAGACTTGACTATATTAATTGTTAAATTGTCAAGATGTCAAATAATTAGGAAATAGATCTGTCTGTCAAGTCAGTGGTGGCCTAGTGGTTAAAATGCCCGCGTCTCATGAATGATGGCGCGCGTTCGATCCTGGTCCTGGCAAGTACCAATGAGATTTTTCCGAGTCATATGTACTTACTAAGAATATTTAGACATCACTGATTAATGCATTCCCAAAGAGAGTTGATGTCAGGCAGGCGGTCGGTCGTAAAAACAATTAGCCGAAACTATTCACAACATGTAAAGCAGACCCTGGCTAAAGCTGGGAAAATTGACAGGTAGAAGAAGAAGATTATTTTTTACTATTTTTTTATCTACCTGGCTTCTGATTGCATAGTATTGACCACTCAGACGGATAACAGATATGGATCATTTATCTTATAATTATAAATGTTTAAAATAAATACGGTTTTCCTATAACCATCACAATCTTTAAAGGTACGAATATTTAGTTGTATATTTTATATAATTATGTATTTAGAAAAAAATATGTTTTATTACTATATGTATGTCAATTATGTAATGCTTTGTTATGGCTAGAGATTTTACGAATAATTGCAAAATGCAATTTAAAATGAATGAAAATAAATTCAATTGAAAATCAATAACATAAATTCTCTGAGCAGGATTGAACTTTCAATTTCTTGAATAAAGCCTTCCAGTTTTTCTATATTTGTTTTTCTTGTCATATGTTTTTGCGACCGCATACATTACCAACCTTTACATTTTTTATTAAAAAACATGTATTTGTTTATTACGTCTACACATATATTATATTTTGAAAAGCATTTTTAAGCAGATTATCTAATCTACTTTTCTTGATAAATAAAGCAGTACGTCTTTAAAATTAATTAATTAATCAAATAAGGCAGTAATAATCTGAGTGACTTATTTACCCAACATTAATATCTTTTGAATGAGAAAAAATACGGTTTTTGAACCACAATAATATGGAACCAAAATACCAATACCTAAAAATAATCATGTACTCGTACTCGTATGTATGCATTACATTGCCTTTTAAATAGAAAAATATGAATGGAAAAAAATGTTCAAAGCTGTCATTTATTATTATTTTCTTGTTTTTATCGTTACATTCGAATATTTATTATATGTATATACAAGATAACTCGAGGTTCTTTAAATCTCAAGGTTTGTTTCTACTGAGCGACCTGACATACAGTAGCCATAAGTTTTTTATAACGTTAACTTGACGCATGTTTAATTATTATTTAACTAACTTATAAATAATGTGTAAGAATATAATATTATGCTTGTTTATCCTTGTTCAGAGTTCGACTCAGTGTTTCGATAGTGAATATCGTGATATCATTTACAAGAGAACTCCTAATTTTACTGAGATTGCCACGAAATTAGGGTTCAAAGTAAACGAGCATGACGTCATAAGTCAAGATGGGTATGTTTTAAAACTCTTCAATATACCGGGCAACACTAGCAGACCTGTTCTCCTGATGCATGGTATTATAGATTCATCTGATACTTTTATTATAAGAGAAAACTCTTCTCTCGCAATAGTCCTTGCTAACGCCGGCTATGACGTGTGGCTTGGGAACGTCAGAGGCAATAGATACTCAAGAAGACATGTGTTCCTGGATCCTGATATAGATAAGGAGTTTTGGGACTTTAGCTTCCACGAATATGGCTATTATGACCTCCCAGCCATCATCGACTTTGTGTTGGACAAAACTGGTGAAAAATCCCTAAGTGCTATAGGCCATTCGTTGGGAAACACGATATTTTACGTCCTCGGATCAAAACGAGAGGAATATAATCAGAAGATCAAAGTGATAGTGGCGGTGTCACCGATCAGCTATTTGAGCAATTTAAAAAATTCTGTAGAAAAACTAATGGAAGCAATGCCAGCCATATCAAATCTATTCATTCTTATTGGTGAAGAAGAATTCGCGGGTGATGACACACCTATCGTTCAAGGACTAAGACTTGTCTGTGGATGTAAAAAATATTATGAATTGTGCGTTAATGGTCTCTTCTTCCCGATAGCTGGTAGGGATCCCGAGGAACTGGAACCGAGCTTCTTCCAGACTGTCGTTGCTCATTATCCCACGGGATCTTCAAGAAAGACTGCGCTGCACGTCTCACAGATCGGCTTAAGGAAAACCTTCGCGGAATTTGATTACGAACATAGGAATTACGACGTGTACAATTCAACGATACCTCCAGAATACGATCTGAGTAAAGTTGTCATGAAAGTTGTTCTAGTAGCTGGAAGGAATGACGAGATTTCTACATTAGATGACGTCCATGTCCTTAGAAAGAGGTTGCCCAACACTGATTATATTGTTGTTGGGAGAAAGAAGTTCAATCACATAGACGCTGTTTGGGGACGAAACATGAAAAAGTATTTATTCCCCCATATATTCCACTTTTTGAAAAAATACGAATGATTGACATTTACTAACTATATTTATTGATAAAAAAGCGAACAAAAAGTTTAGTTATTAATTATAGTATCTGGATTATAAATAATAAATTGTGTCTTGAATAAAGTTTAAATATTATAATGACGGTTTAAAAAAAAGAAAAAAAATCAGTGATAATATTTTATATTAATAATGTAATAAGTACTATATTTTTACTTATAAGTAACTCATTTTTTCTATTTGATTTTAACGGTCGTGTTATTTTTTTCAATACTTACGACATTTAGTTCTTTCTAAACGCGTCCATGTCGGGAATGTTTAAACGAAGATATTATATCTAGAACTATTTTTTAATGAAGACAAAGACTATAATTCATTCGGATCTATTGAATAACTTTATAAACTTAATGATTTCTAATATCTCCAACCCGTATTACGAAATGTACAAAGATATAATTTCTTAAACTTCATTTCGTGTCCCAGTTATATTAAAAAAATTAATTCCAATTCATATCATATATTTAATATAATATTTTTATTTATAATACTAGCTTTTCCCCGCGACTTCGTCCGCGTTATTTTTGGAATTATTAATATATGTACATATATATGTAAAGCTGATCGGGTGAACTTTATTCCTTGGAGGCCATAAATAATCAGATTGGAATTTATCAACTTTTTTTTTCGTTTTCGATCCAACAGAATTAAATATCCTATGCCTGACTCCTGGTTCTATAAGCTGTCTTCCCACCACTTTAACCATAGCCCTACAGCCATTCTTGAGTTACAAATAGTATAGCTATCAAAACGTTTATATATGTATATACCTAACAGATTATGATACGTAGTTGATGTTCTTATAAGGATTTAAATTTTAGGCCTAAAATATGAAGGAGAAAAATGTGTCAAACCTCATATTTAAAAAAAGTTTCGAATTTCAATAAATAGCATATCTAAGATAATACTCAGGTTAAAGTGTTCATGCGGAAAATCAGTACATAGCAGATGTCATTGGCACAGACATAAAAACTATGGCGGCTTATTAACAGTTATTTGTGTAGTGATACGAAATAATTAGTAATCTCTAAAGTTTACCTTGAATTTTGATCGACCTCTAAAAATTATGATTGTTCAACATTTCCATGTAAATAATTTATTTCAACCAATGTATGTAGAATAATATAGTTTTGTATATAAATATAAAGTTTCTATTTTAGCTCATTTTCGGCTTTATTGATTCTTTGCATTGAAAAAGAGTTAAGTGTAAATTTTTTACACATTTTAAATTATTAGTAAGTACGTCATAGAACTCATAATAATTGCTATAAATATGTTTTAATATCTTGTTAATGTATATGGAGTTTGTATTATATAAAACTCTGTTTTATCGGCAGAATATTTGAAGGAAATACAATAGGTAATAGGTATTAGATGATGCAATAGTATTGACGTTTACCTCATAGTTAGTAGTGATGGCCTACAAAATTAATATATTCATTATTTATTATGATTTTTTTTATATGAAGTAGATGTGGAAAAGAAATAAAAAAATTAAAGTTCAATTATGTACTCTCTCTTATTTTTGATTGTTATTTTAGTAACATTTGTTTAATGCATTACTGGAGTCATTTCACAACAAATTCCTGTACTTACCGGCTAAAATTAAATTCATGTAGTAAGATAAATATAGGGAAAATAGTTAAGAAATATTTTTATTTCATTTTAAACAATTCCCGTTCGTAGTTAACGAATCAAAGTTGAAACAATATATTTACTATTTCATATATATATATATTAGATACGTTAGTTTCTAATTTCACCGTAATTTAAGCATAGTAATTGTTTATAAATGTCGTCGCATGGAATTTAGGGCCTCAAATTTTGATACTTATTTCTATGTATATATAATACAGTCGATAAGTTTTACGCACAGCACTGCTCTATAAGGAACTGTCATCGACATGTGTCAAATTGCACTGTGACTGTAGTTTAAAAAATCCTATTCGGTTCAGAGTTAGTTTCCGTAATAAAAATTATAATATTGCATATTATTATTATTTTTACTAAGTAGCGAGTAAAATATTCATGTAAACCGAATTCTAGAAGGCTGGGAAAATATATAGTGACTTAAAATATGTACTTTTATTACAATCCATCAAGTGTATGAGGTTATAAAAAACTTAAACAATGACTTTTCCTGATGAAAACGGATTTTCCGCTGGTGATGCACCAAGAGGCAGAGGTGTTCTAGAACATACAATATCACAGGCTTACGCCGATGGTAAGTTTTATTCAATAATTTATGTTTTGTTGGTCTCTATAGTGAAACATTTAACACCAACTTTATATAACATTGATAGGCTTATCATAGTTTTATTAAATTAAATAATAATATACAAGTTTACTAGAATATTATTAGATACCTTTTAATTTGTAATATATTTTCTTACTGGACCATTTTTGAAATACACATGTGTAGCCATATGGTATTTTGAATTATTTAATCAATATTTTGCTTGATTTAGAATGAAAATGCAGCTACTAAAAGACATGTCCATGTCCAGAACTAATGTCAATTCATTCTTGGAGTGTACTTCAAAGCCAGCCCTAGAGGGTTCTTATCAAATTGAGTGAGGTAGAGAGAGGAGCTTAGACGGTGGAGGTGAGCGTTTAACATGCATTAGTTAGGGATCCCTTAAACCTACACCTGGGTCGCAAGTCCCAGTCACTGTTAAAGCTACTCTCACTACAATGATGGACCCAACACCCACACAGTGAATACATTGACAGCTAAGAGGTCTCATCTCTCATTTAATCTCATTGGTTGCATTCTAACATGATCCTGTAAGATAAACATGTTCCATGTACATATTACTGAACAAAATTTTTTTTTCCAACATGAAATTTATTGTATTATGTTAAAGGAATACTTCCTTTTAATTAATCAAATGTCTTCTCAGGCACCTGTAACATTGAAATATCTAGATTTGGTTGGATCATAACTGACCCATTCAATTTACATTCTGAGAAAGAAAATAAGATAAATTTATATAGTGGGCCCTTATTTCTCTTGGTTGTATTATATGTAATTCAAGAATGGCTGTGAATTTGTGATTTTGTAAATGTTTTTTAATACTTGGTAGAAGATTTATATGTTAAAAAAATCATGAAAGTTGCATACAAAACATTAACAACTACCATTATTATAATTAATTATGATTTCGACGGTCGGTGGATGCAATGAAATCAAAATTATTTGACTTAATTTAATTAAAGGTAACTTACAACTAGGGTGTGACTATGTTGCACAGAGGTTGAACAAATAGTGACATTAATTTAATCAAATTCGTAAAAGAAATCTTAATAACAAATTTATAAGCTGTCACTTGTTTGATAGCCAATGATATATTATTCTAAAAGATCATTAATTTTTGCATTAACTGTTGGTTAGAATTATGGACTTTATGTATAAAATTCTTTATTAAGAACAAATTATAGTCCCTACCCATCTCTTAATATCTTTTGCATGAGAGAAGTATGTTGAGTATGTAAGTAAGATATAGATATATACTTATAAAACGAGATATATCTCTGTATACTTGTATAATGATTTATAATATACAGTAATCTGCTTCTATTTATAACAACATTGATATTTCTGTCTCAATATAGTAAGACCACTGTTTAATAAAATTATCAATTTATCTGATCTACCTTACTGTTGATGATTTTATTACATTACTATTTTAATTTTCTCCGTTGACTTTACTTTTAAATCTACATAACTCATTTTTTAAAACAATATTACAATAACTATAAAAAATCAGTTTTTGTATGTCTAGATTTTTTAGATGAAATTTGTTTTTTGTTTATTTATAAAATATTATGTTGACAATGTTTTTGCATAATAATGTGGTTGGAAATAAAAAGTTGACATATATACATTTTTCATCTGTTTACCTGAGATACATAAATTTTTAAGTCAGTGGTGGCCTAGTGGTTAAAAAGGCCCGCCTCTCATGCACGAGGGCGCGGGTTCGATCCTGGCCCGGGCAAGTACCAATGTGATTTTTCCGAGTCATATGTACTTTCTAAGAGTATTTAGACATCACTGATTAATGCATTCCCAAAGAGGGTTGATGTCAGGCAGGCGGCCGGTCGTAAAAACAATTAGTCAAAACTATCCACAACATGTAAGGCAGACCCTGGCTAAAGCTGGGAAATTGCCAGGTAAAAGAAGAAGATAAATTTTTAGGTCTAAGTTATCTGTAATTTGATATTGTACTCTTAAAGGTCCTTGAACCCAGAGGTTGAAATCGTCGATCAAATAGAATGATATTGTCAAAATGATTTAGATCACCAATTGATCTCGGTTAAACATATATGTATATGTATGATATTGCTTAGTCAATGAATAATCAATAAGTTCAATTGAGTCTTTCATTTATAAGAAGATGGCTATGTGGGTGCAAGTGTGGTGGCTTCTAGGTAGACTTGTTGAATCATTTCATTCTAACATAGTAATATTATGTGTTTAATGTGCGATTTTTATTGTTTTTACACATATTATTAATGTGCTAACGTCATATGTTACTCAACAGGTGAATTGGTGTAAGGGCGACCATAAAATTTAATGATATGATTTATAGTTGATACTTAGTTGTGACATAAAATTAATATTGCGCTTAAATAAATTAAATACTGCAAATTAACCGAAACTTCGCGTCGGGAGAATTTAGTACAAAATAACAAAAAACGCTTAGTAATTCAAAAATATTCTTTTAAATTAATCTTTTATCTCATTATCGAAAATATTCATTTTATTTAAATGAATGGTCCTGAAAGTCTTAGATATCATTGCTTCGTATATATTTTTTTTGCGAACGTTTCAATTGCTTTCCAATTATCTTTTTTGTCAGTGTGTCACTATCGTAAATGTTTGAGCATTTAATATTTTAATATATAAACGCCAATTGTATGCATCTTGTTATAAAGAAGTTTCATTCCAGGTGGTATAAAGGCGGGTGCTGCTCGTGCAGCCAGGCTCGCTTATGGAGTTCTCTCAAGACGTAAAGCGGCAGAGGAGGGTGTAGCGAGGCTCGCGAGGGTACTGTCAGCACTTGACCTGACAGCCCTCGGTGTAGGCAGCACACTGGGTGTGGGGGTGTACGTCCTAGCTGGTGATGTAGCCAAGAATTATGCTGGGCCAGCTGTGGTTCTATCGTTTCTTTTGGCTGCTGTCGCTAGCGTTTTCGCCGGTAACATTTTTACTGTTATATAATTGGAATAATTTGAATGTTTATAAAATAGCAATTTAAAAGTAATTGGAGGTTGTAGCTTTTATTAGTTTTGTATTAATTGGATGACCAGTTTGCGTTGGAAAACAGGTGAATAGTATAGCCTTAAATGGCAATTACTATTGATATCCTACCCAATACATGACCTGACCAAAGTATATAATATACATATAGGATATAATATTATGTCCTATCAAATGTCTTTACGAAGATAGTCCAAGAGCTGTTGTTGTTGTTATGAATTTAAATCAGGGCTTCAAAAACCTACATTTTTCGCTCATTTTAAGAATATTTTTTTTAGCGCCACCGCTTTTTCACACTTCTGAAAAACCAAATTAATTAATCATTTTGAACTATATTAGCGCTCCCATTTTGTTTTGGGTCTTTACCGCACTCCTGATGCCTGTAGTGCTCATAAAGGGGTGATATCAGGTCCCTTGTGAGAGTCTGATTTATATCATAAAAAAATAACTATATATTAAATTTGAGCCCTTTTAAATAACGGATTCTTATGCATTGGTATAAATATTAGAACCAGCTGGGAAAAACACGATGCATTATTTTTAACTTTTAGAAAAAATGCTAGGTTTATTTTATCATTTTTTTAACAAGATTCAAAAAATACTATTAGACTTGCATTTACTGTTTAATACATTTTAGACTGTTTTATTCACTTTTGTCTTTTGGACAGTTCGTAGTCGTAGTTAGTATATTATTATTGTACGGGAAGTGTTCCCATGTAAGCTATATTCATGTTTGTCATATCTTAGGTCTCTGTTACGCTGAATTCGGTGCTCGCGTACCGAAGGCCGGCTCCGCTTACGTTTACAGTTACGTCTGTGTTGGAGAGTTCATTGCCTTTATTATTGGATGGAATTTGATATTGGAGTATATTATAGGTGAGTACTTCGATATAAATCTATCATATACTATATAGTATTGACATTCAGACAATGTTGAGAAAATAATTAAATTAAAAATCATATAAATAATATAAAATGAAAAATTTATTCATACGAGCAGAATACCTCGTACGTCGTTTTTCATTTGGATTGTACGTAGTGCATTTAAAACGCTAATAGATGGCACCTGTATCGAGCGTTTCTCAAAAATATAGACCATAATTTTAATATTTATTCTTATATATTCTTCTACCTTGCAATTTCCCAGCTTTAGCCAGGGTCTGCTTTACACGTTGTGAATAGTTTTGGCGTATTGTTTTTACGACCGGCCGCCTGCCTGACATCAACCCTCTTTTGGGAAATTTACACACATTGAAATTGGCACATACAGAGTAGTACATGTAGTGATGGACCCGTCACGTCTCATAGTATGTTGTATGTGTGTAGGCGCGGCGTCCGTAGTGAAGGCTCTCAGTGAGTACCTGGACTCGCTGCTGGACAAGTCCATCTCCAGTCAGCTGTACTCGTGGATGCCGATGGACTCGCCTCACCTCGCCAAGTACCCGGACCTGTTCGCCTTCCTCGTCATCATGCTGTTCTCTGGTCAGTCAATAACTATACATTCTTATATAACTTATGTGTTGAGGTTTGAGACAGTTCTAGATAAATATATATAGGATATGAAATGGTTTTCGGTGAAAGTGTAAGAAGGTTTGTGTGCGTGCGTGTGTGCGTATGTACATATGTGTGTGTGATTTTAGTCTGTAAGTAACTACAGCTCGAACATGAGCTGGCTCGACCGAGGAAGTACCACCCTCTCACAGAAGATCGGCGTGAAGTAGCCATTACTGGCTGCCTTTCGTCCGATGAGTGACAGGGTCGGTTGATTTTTTCTTTTCCCCACATTTTCGTATTCCGGACTTTTTATTTGTACAGTGACCTTCTGTGCTGGTACAGCCCAAGTCTGTTTTGAGATGTCGAACGTGTTTTAATTTCATTTTAAGACCCTGCTACTGCCGGTCGGATTGGGGACACTTCCGTACCTCGTACCAGCGACAAATAAAACTCGATTGAAAAGTGTTTATTTTCTAAAAATATAATAAATAATTAGGTGTTCTGTATTTAAATACTACATTCAAAGTAAAAATATTACGAATTTCATACTTTAATTATAAATTACTTGAAATTAGTTATATATTGTGTAAATAAAAACGTATGTAAACAAATGATGGTATTGACAGTAGTGTTATAATTGTTTAGGTGTTACCTGTTCATGAATAAATGTTAAATGTTTGTTTTTCTATATTTTCATTGTAATTGTAAGATATATGCTACATAGAAACATTTAGAGTTTTTTTTAGTACGAAAAGCTTTGTTTTTTTGCTTTAATTTCTAAAAAAATCAATATGTGAACGAAAGGTTTTTCAATGGAAGATGACTTACATTTTTTGTATATTAATTTCAGTGGGTCTAGCATTCGGAGTGAAGGAGTCAACAAAATTCAATAACTTCTGTACGGGTGTGAATCTGTGTGTAGTGCTGTTTGTCATTATATCTGGATCATTCAAAGGTAATTAACGTCTTAAAGATTCAAAAAAACAATTCACCTCTAAATCCTATTCCACCTCAAACACCAATCTTTATAAAACACTTCTACCTCAAAAACCTACTGCACCTCAAACACAAGTCTTCAAAAAACCAATTTCACTTCAAAGAACACTTCCACCACAAAAACCGGTTCCTCTATTTCGAAGTTATACAGAAAATGTTTTTATCAGCTGATACAAAGAACTGGCGCATTCCTGAGTCCGAGGTGCCTCACGACGGGAAAAAGAACTTCGGTAGCGGAGGGTTCGCCCCATATGGCTTGGCCGGGGTCGTGAAAGGTGCTGCGGTGTGCTTCTATGGGTTCATTGGTAAATATCAACCATATGTAATTGTTGAACCTAATAATCTGATATCACAGTATAATAAAGTGGTTTCTTGTATCAATGTTTTATAGAAAGAGTATCATTTTCGATGAACTGTTTCCATTTTAAATTTAGAAAGACCTGGATTTAGATGAACTGGGTCTTCTTCAAATTATACGCTCGTTAATACATGTAGTAAATATACTTCATGTCATCCTACTAATATTATAATTGCGAAAGTTTGTGAGTGTGTGTGTATGTTTGTTACTTCTTCACGCTCAAGCGGCTGAACCGATTTTGATAAAATTTTGTATACAAGAAGCTGACGTCCAGGAATAAGACATAGGCTACTTTAAAACCCAGAACTCCCTGAAATTCGCTGGTAACACCGCGGGGCGCAGCTAGTAAACATATAAAACTGCAAATACAGTTGACGTCTTAAGAGTCTAAACTTGTTCAAAATCTATAGACCTCTCATTCTATCCTCTATCTTCGTGTGCAGGGTTCGACTGTGTAGCGACGGCCGGTGAGGAGGCTCGTCGTCCTCAGAAGTCCATTCCATTCGCCGTGGTGGTGTCGCTTCTAGTGGTGTTTCTCGCGTACTTCGGCGTATCTTCAGTACTAACCCTCATGATGCCGTACTACATGCAGGTAGTAACACAATTACATTTAAACGCTACTCTATTTCATTTCTTTCATCTATATCTCATGTTTACAGGACGAGAAAGCTCCGTTCCCGTTCGTGTACGACCAGCTCGGCTGGACGTGGGCCAAGTACGCCGTCAGTGTGGGAGCGATATGTGCTTTATTGTCTAGGTAATAAGATAAATATTTAATCGTTAATATTCTTTATATATTATCTTAGTTTCTGCTGTATGTGATCTAATCCCCCTCCCCCCCCAGTCTCCTAGGAGCCGTGTTCCCCCTCCCTCGTATCATCTACGCGATGTCTTCGGACGGTCTGTTGTTCCGTTGGCTGGGAGCCGTCAGTGAGAAACATCAGACGCCGCTCGTGGGGACCATGGTCGCTGGTCTGCTTACTGGTGAGTTGTATGGAAACACACACACACACACACACACTTACATTCTCACAAGTACATTCTTGTATCATGTGTTGTGTGCCTATATCCCCGCTGTATGTACTGTGTGTCGCAGGAACCCTGGCCATGATCTTCGAGCTGGAGCAGCTGATCCACATGATGTCTATCGGGACGCTGCTGGCCTACTCTATGGTCGCCTCATGTGTTATGCTGCTAAGGTTAGTAGATCATGTTTATATATATATATATACACACACACACACAGTGGCGGCTGGTGGGTTACCAGATATGGTGGTGCACTTTACTAAAATATTAAAATTAGAAAATGCAACAAAACAACAATTGACATGAAATATGTATATTTTTTATACATTAAATCAATGCGACGACATTTTTCTGAAGCTAAATGTTCAATCACCTTTTTATTAAAATGGGATATTGTTTGTATATATTTTTTTCAATACTAAGCACAGCATGTGCATTTAGCAAGTGCATGGTATTTCGGAGAAAGTTTTGATTCTTTTCAATTCCAATTCGTAATATATCGGGTGTTCTCGGTAATCTTCGGCCGCTCGTGCGGCGCTCGAGAACCGACTCATTAACTATTAACAGGCGTATTAACTCCTGTCCCATACAAGATGTATTAGCAGTCCTTGTGCACTCGCCGAAGCGCACGATATCAATTTAGTAAAGCGCTCAAACTTTTTGACCATAATTGGAAATTTAATTTTTTATACGTTTTTGTATATTAAAAAAAACAATATTAAAATGGTAATTTATAAATAAAGATGAAGTAATATTTTGTAATTTTTAAAACTTTTGAATTGGTGGTTCAGCGCAAGAGTGCACTTAAGGTACAGCCACCACTGCACACACACATACACACACAAACGCACACGTCATAATAAATCAAACACAAAATAAATACTAATTGTGAAAAAATTACCTGAAAAGTCGTTGATTTAGAAAATATTTCAGCTTAAACCTTCTTCTGATAATAAAATCTGCTTCCAATGTAGATAGGCGGAATTATCCAATTCTAGATACGCGGATGTATATTAAGAATTCTAGTTATATAACATTCATAAAATTAAAAAACATTTCCATTCTCAGTAATATGTCATGTAACAACTTTTTTTTTGGTAATTAAGTTTCTTTTTATATAGCTGTTTTTAGATTATTATTTTTATTTTTTATTCCTTTTTGTTGTTATAAACATACTTTTTTCACCATTTTCAAGTAAGATCTAAACATTATGTAACCATGTTGAGTTAGCCTGTAAGTAATGATACGCAACTGTGAACAATTATGTTGCATCATGTTATAACGTAGTTATAAGTTTTTGTGTATCACGTTGGCTTCCTATTAAATAAAATAAAATAAATATAACATAATGGCGTCATATCATCATATATACATATATATCTCCAGATACCAGAGCTCGCCCCACCGTCCCCCCGAGCCGCTCCGTCCGTCTGTGCGCGTCGTTCTCCGTCAGTGTGTGAACATGGACCGCGTGACGTCACCCAGCGCGCTCAGCTCCACCGTGGCCAGTACACTCGTCACGCTGTACGGTCAGTGAACACCATGTATTATATACGGGACTATCCAGGATGTTTAAACAAATAAACGTTACATCTCATGTTATTTGCTATAGATCTTTGGAAGAAATGGCAGAGTCACTTCAATCGTTCCAAAGATTAGAGCAAAAATCTAAAAAGACATATATAGGTACATGTCTATACATGTTATAAATAGGCAATGAAATTTCATTTACTTGCACGAAAAAAAAAATCTGTAAATGTGAAGCTTCAAGGAAAATTATGGTTATTGATTCGGTTTTATCGCGTCTTTAGATTGTAAGGGAATAATTATAAAATCACTTTTTAGTCTATATGTTAATATTTCCGTATTTGTGAAAGAAAAGCAAATAAGGTTTTTAGTTTGAAATTAATATTTAATCCTTGAAACAATCATAGGAACAACTTCAATTATCAATTTTTAAAGCTCAAGTTGCATATTGTAATGTTGATCAAGGCAGTTAAAACTTACAAAGACATAAATTTGTAAGAATACTTCTTAACAGAATCATTGAGGTAGCAGTTTTAAAATTCCTCTCTCACTACTATATGAGTTAGTTTGGTACAGTTAATTACTGTACCAAACTAACTCATAACTGTAACTGAATAATTTTGTTTAGTAAATATAACAAAAAATGTATAAAATATCAAGAATACAGGGTGACTGGTGAATTACTATCAATATTTAAGGACGTGGTAGTTGACGATCATATATGACAAAATAAAAATTAATATAACATAAATATTAATAAACTTCTAAGTAAAGTTAACCAAAAGTTATGTAATTAATTACGAATCGCGTGGATACCCTACCTGCGTTATCGACACAAAACAGTTATGTACGTAGGTATATGTAGTTATCGCGCGGTAGTTTACCTACATCCAAACGCCGCGCGCCGCCGCGTGTTAGACCTTAGATAAACAAAAATGATCCAATTCCCTTCATACTTTAATCCTGGCTTAAGACAGGCAAAAATACCAAGATATTTCTTTCGTTTAAGCAACCAATTTATTGACTAGGTAAATGGTGTGACCTTGACACGAAAAATAATATGAACTGTTTACCTATCTTGGTATTTCCGGCGTATTTAAAAATGGAATCATTCTTATTTACAACAATTGTCAATCATTAAACTACCTATTTACCTACATAACTACACTAACCTTAACAAATGTTCAAAGCGAGCTCCTTCTCGTGTGATACACAGTTCGGCACGTTTACACATATTGTCTTTCACACGATTTAATACGAATGGGTCACTTTTAATAGTTTCGAAAGCACTATTGATTTTTAATTTCAACTCCTCTCTGTTGACATACATTGTAGCATATACAAGACGTTTCCTTGGTCATGTGTTGGAACCCGGAACTGTCCGAAGTCTCGTAATCTTTGATTAGCGTTTAAGATGACGCTGGCCGTAGGTACTCGACGATTGGGGAACATCTCCCGGTACAAATTGATTGCGCCCGGCAAGCTATCATTTGCACGCGCATACGCATGAACCATGTCCAAGTATTCTGCATTTGTGTATTGAAAAGCCATATTTAATTACTAATAAGTAATAACGGGTCACACGCACACACGACAGATTATTATTAGGTATACGCGTAAGATCGATCGCTAGGTGCGCGCGCGGGAAGACGAACGTACGGACCTTACGGCGGCGCTCGCGCGACTAATAGCCGACTAATGGCCCGCTAGCCACGGGGCGGGGGTTGGGGAGTAGCGACACACTGGCGCCGGCAAGGTTGAGTACGTGTCCAAACTTTATTTATTTATACGGAAATTTGGTCAAAAATTAAGTACCTATTTTTTTTACATAATTCGAATGAGAATCATGTACCGAGTATGCTCCTTAAATATTGATAGTAATTCACCAGTCACCCTGTATATTTGTTTTAAAAATACCAACAATTCTGCTACGTATGAACAAACGAACGAATCGCACACTGACCACAGCTACAGACAAAACAACTGGAAATGTTAAGATCTTTCTGAATCTATATACATATATATAAATTAATTGTCGTTCTTTAGTCTCATTAAAACTCGAGAACAGCTGAACAGATTTATCTTATCTTAGTCTTGAAATGTTCGTGGAGGGTCAGGTAAGGTTTAAAAGCTGAATAAAATTTAATCATTGCCGGTAAAACCCTAAAAACAGCGGTTTTCTATTTCCCATACTAACTTTTTTTGTACATTAGATTTGACAACTAACTAATATGTCAATCATTCTGTCGCACTTCGGAGCACGAAGATTTATGGCTTAAAAGTAAACTCTAAAAAATAAATAAAAAAATATTCATTTATCGATTGAGGCAGTACGAGGTTTGCCGGGTCAGCTTGTAGTATTATAACTATATGTATGGTAACAGGAATGATCGTCAACTATTTGTCTTTTCCAGGAATATGGTCTCTGGTGCTTATGAACAGTATCCACCAACGTGGCGAGGCGCTCCTAGCGGGTGAGCCGGCGGCCGTCTGCGAGGTGATAGTAGGCGCCGCGCTGGTTGTGTTCACACTGTTCGCGATATCAAGACAACCTGTGTCTGAAAAGAAATTGGCATTTTCGGTGAGAAATTTTCCGTTTGGGAAGAAATTAACGATAGTATTTTATATATTTTGGAAATAAAAAGTGATGCAGACAGTATTTTTATGATTTATTATATGAACAGTTAGAATACACAGTACACACGCTATTATTAACAACCAGAATTACAGACAAGAATGTATTTCACTATGACAAGGCGAGACGCCATCTAAAGGCATAGACAAGTTTTTAATTTCTTAAGTTGCCATTAACATAGTATTATATGAAGCAAGTTCTGCGTGTCTTCTAGAAGATAATAATGGATTCGTCTCGATCCATTAGTACAGTTAGGTCACAAGGGTAATTTTGCGTTATTGCTTCCTGAATTATTGATATTTAGCTAATTTCTTATGAGAAAGATACTTTCAAGAAATAGTGCCCTGTTAGAGGACGTGGAATCTGAATGCCGTATTTCCTTATAGTAGTACAGTAGTATTAATAGTTGTGATTTGGATTAAATGATGTCTTTTAGTTAACAAAATATTTTTCCCCCCTAAAATCAACGAAGTCGGAGTCGCGTGCAATAACTAGTCAATATATAAATATTTCCAGGTGCCGTTGGTGCCGTGGCTGCCTGGTGTGAGTGTGTTGTTGAACGTGTACCTCATGTTGAACCTCGACCACGCCACGTGGATACGATTTGCTGTCTGGATAGCGGCCGGTGAGTAGAGGGAAGGGGGGGGGGTAGTAAGGAAAAGTAGGAGGTTGATAGTAGTAAGAAATAAAGTGATATATAAAATGTATGGCGAAGTGGTGCATACTGTATAGATGTAATATATAGTAATTATTCGATAAAAAATATAAATAACAAATATTTGATTCAATATCGAATAGTTCATCGATTTTGTTTCTGAAAATTGTAGTTAATGTATATAAAGTTTTTATTTCAATAATAAGTCTGACTATCTTTGTTTGTTAGTTAATAGGTCAAACTACAGTTAACGTTTGTACGTTGTTACCATTGACTTCTGCATTTCATATTACAAATCTCTAGTGTTAAGTAAAAATAATTTAGTCATAATACATCACAAGTGAAAATAAAAATCAGTTCCATATCAATTACATAAATTATGTATAGTAACAAAAGTTTATAACAATATCTATTTAATATTTTCAATAGCTTCAAAAATATACGGGAACAGGTAGTACGGCATGTTCTCTCCCCACACGTAGTCGAAATGGTTCATCAGATAGCGTTTGATAATTTGATAATTCACAACGTTTGGTAGTTCGGATCTCAATCTTTTAACATCTTCTAACATACATACTTTGTCGTTATTAGCTGCTAATAAAACCACTGGCATTTTAACCGCTTTCAGTTCATAATCCGGAGGCATCACAGTTTTATATTCCTTCATATTCCTCTCAGGACCGTAGTCGAATTTTGAGAAACTCTTTCTTCTAGCAACTTGGGCGAAGTGGTATAAATTGTGCCTTGTCGTACTTGCCGGGAAATGTTCAATTGCTAATTGATAAAAAGCCGGTCCGAATTCTGATAAATCGAAACCTGATAGTGGTAGCAGTGCACCCAGAGCGCATACGGGATATCCGATCAATACGTGGTTACATAAAAGATCAATAAACCTCCCGTTTATAGTGGAGTTTCCGAATATTTCGTTCAAATTTATGGCCTTTGCGATGGCATTTATCTCTGGAGCGAATTTTATGAGTATTGCGAGAGGTGATGGCGCGTGGCTGAGATAGCAAACGGGTGCGAGCGATATCAGAACGTTGATCTTGTCATTATACTCCGGCCGAGTAGACCCCAGCACGTAAAAAATCGTGTTACCTTGAGAATGACCGATAGCTGTCAGTTTGGTAGATTTTGTCTCGAATAGAACGGTGTCAATTATCGCTTTGAGGTCGTAATAGCCGTGCTCGTGAAAACTGTACTCCCAGAACGCATTGTCTATATCTGGATTTAGTTTCTTATGATGTCTGGAATATTTGTTCCCTCTGATATTTCCGAACCAGACGTCGTATCCTTTTTCTGCGAGTGTGATTCCGAGAGAGTTTTTGCCTCTCAATAGCCAGGTGTCGCTGGTGTCAGCTATTCCGTGCATTAACAGTATCGGTCCCGGTTTTTTTCCCGGAATATGGAATAGTCCAAGTTTGTAACCATCATCGGTGAATATGTCGTAGTATTCCGCTTTGAATCCATACTTTGAAGCCAAAGAAGTAAAATTGGTCGAGGGTTTTGATGGAAGGATGAATCTTAATTCTTCACATAATACTTGACCGAAAAGGACAATAAATATTAAAACAAAACGTGTGTCCATCCCGCTCGCTTGACGATTGTGATTCACTTAAAAGTTTACACGTGAATCTCATTCTAATATGAACCTTTAGAAATATATAGTTTGTCGATAATTACGAGTACATATCGTGTTTATTGAAAAACTTTAAATTTACATAATATTTTTATTCGACTTGATACCAAGGATTACAATTGATACAAACTAAGATTATTCTTAAATAAATTTATGTTATTACATTTATGAAAAAACAAATATCTTTAATTTTTTTTTGCCCACACACTAAGATGTAGATAAGAAAGTAAGCCGATCATTAAGCGGCTCATACAATAAAAATGTCATTAAATACAAATTAACACGCATCGTTGACATATTCTAATTTAGAAAAAAACTCATAATTTAGAACATGTCCTTTGAAGACTGTAATCGATATTTTATTATTTTTCTAATAAAGTTAAACCAACTTCTCTTAAGAATAGTTTTTGGGTGAAGAGAATACTGTGTGATTATCCATATTGACCCAACACTTTTAATATTTGTGGAAACAAATATAAATACATGTGTCGCCCCCACACGTGGTCTACGTGATTAAGCAATCGTCTAGGGACTACATAATATGACACAATATTTCTCAAGTGTTTTCGTAGTATATCAACGTCATCGATTGTCGACAGGTGATCGTTTCTGCCAACTATTAAGGCAACTGGAATCGTTACTTTACTCAGGTCATAAGCAGGAGGTGCTGAGGTGTTATAGACTTTCACATTAATCTGAGAGCCGTAGTCATAAAGAGCAAATTCTTTTCTGTAACCAACTTGTATATAGTGGCCAATACTTTTCCAAGAACTTCCAGATGGGAAATGAGAAGCCACGTCTTTAAAAAAGTCTGGTCCCACCTCCGCTGGATCGTAACCAAATAAAGGAAAATATAATCCAAATACACAAAAGGCGTAACCAAGTAGCGGTAAGGAACAAATCTTATACAGGAGTCTTCCTAAAATGGTTTTATCACCTAGCACTTCTGTGAGACCAATTTTATTTGCCAGTGCATTTAGCAGCGGTGCGTTCTGTATGGCTAATGAAACTGGAAACTTAGTGTTTTGTAAAAAACATATAGGTGCTAGGGCTATCATAACACTAACTTTGGAATTGTATTCTGTTCTGGTAGAGCCCAGAACGTAATATGCAGTGTTTCCTTCAGAGTGACCGACCGCTGCCAGTTTTGTAGCTTTTGTTTCATTTAAAACTGTGTCAATAAAAGCGGGAAGATCAAAATAACCGAGTTCATGGAAACTAAAATTCCAGTAACTGTCGTCGAGATCAGGGTTCAGATATTTGTGCTTTCTAGAATATCTATTGCCTCTAAAGTTACCAATCCATACGTCGTAGCCTTTATCAGCTAAGGTGATGCCAAGAGATTGTTTGCCTCTCAATAGCCAGGCGTCTCCTGTTCCTTGGATACCGTGAGTCAGTAATACTGGAACGCGACTATAACTATAACTGGGGAGTCTGAACAGAGAGAGAATGTATCCATCTTCTGTGACCACCTCGTATTCTGCAGCCGGATGGCCATATTTTGTAGCAAGTTCACTGAATTGCAACTTGGAATCCTCTTGATAATTGTCTAAATATAAATCATCTTCAGATGCAAGACAGTTTTGTAAATACACTAGCATAAGTAAATGTGAGCCAAAAGGAATTATTACATGAGTCAGCCGCATCGTTGGAAAGTTTGATAAACTTTATATCTTTGATATGCACAATTATCTGTTTTTATCGTGTAAGGGATGCCGGTACTTTTAGGTATAAACAAGGTTTCACAAAACTTTGGGTTCCTCAACGTGAATAGTTTATTTTATTTTATAAATATATTTTTCTGTTAACACATGCGTTAATAATGATAGTCGAAAGAGATACTAAGGTATATTTAGCATTTAAAACTTATTATGTGTAAGTGTTATAATTAAACTAGTTATATCAATGAACATTTACGTCTATCTTCTCTATGCATACATGTATCTTTATTCTTTAACAAAGATATTTATTAAGTAGGGAAGGAGTTAATCGAAAGTACATTTTTACGACGGCATTTAAAAAACAATAAAATAGATAAAAACCAGAATTAAACTTGCAAGGAATTCAAAGTAGCTTACGGTACAATCATTGACACAATTAGTTTATTTTTGTTGAAATTTAGAAAATGTAGTGGAAAATTACAATAAAATTAATTGTTTTAGTAATTACAAACGTGATCGAAGTGTATAATAAGTTTTGTAAAAGATAATTTTTTGCATGTTAAGCTTTTGTTCGTCGTGACAGAGGAATGTGGGGTGTGAGTGTTTTATCAGGGATTTGTGATGATTTTGAAGTCGCTTGAAAAGAAATAGGTATTTTCAATGAGTGAAATTTCATACATCAGGTGAGGCAACTCGACTTTGGCAACCTATAGATTGAAAAATTAATTAATAATTCAAGGGACTAATTACCGTCCCTTTGCCTAAATACAAGGAAAATCTTTATAATAGTGTAGTATAGGAGATCATTCAGGTTTCATATATTTTTGGGCCTTTTCTGAAAGTGCCGGCCAACAAAAAAAAATGGTACATATTCTTAGAACTAACCATTTGGAGCAATAGTTAATATGGCTCAAAAGTTGTAGGATACAAGATATAGAAGTTATACATGTTCTATGATTCATCATTTTCGTACATTCATTGTTTTCTGAAAGTGCCAGGAAACATAAAATAATGATTGATATTGCTAGAGTTAAGCTTCTCAAGCAAATCATTATAGCGAGAAAGCCATAATCTGTTCTCTTGTACATGTTAGAAACCTATCATTTTTATGTAATACTAGCGAACCCGACAGACGTTGTTCTGCCAAGTATCTGAACGCATGCAACACAATTTTTTTGTTGTTGGTTTTATTATTTGTCTGAACTAATATGTATATCGGGGTGTTATTAGATAGTGCAGGAAGTAAATGTGATTGTAATAGTTCTAAATGTCACTTTCATACTTCCTGATCATACACGGGGGAAGTTGCCTCCCAAAAATACCTTCACCATTGGTATACCACAGTTACCTGAAGATTTTATGCAAGCACATCGTGAAATCGTTTTTTATTACAACTTAAATTATCATATACTACGTATTAAAAATATTACAGTCAGATTGCAGAAGTCAGTGGCACATATGCAAGGGCCACGATACAAAATACCTGATATTGTGATCTTACATTTAAATAAACATTAACAGTATCTTATGATTTCTGTGGTCAGAGCTACTTTGTTCAATGTTTTCGATTGTAGGCATTTTATAATAAAGTAATTAATAGAATACTAAAACGCCATTAAACAAAGATTATTACACTTTAATGATATAAATTAACACAGCAATTTTCTATGTAATCAATGTCATTTCATTTGTGAAATAATATTATTATTCTCCGACTAAGAATGTAATTTGTCATTGATGTTTGATAATTGTAATGGGGCTTATAAACATCAGTTATCTATACTGACTCAAAAGTTTAAATATTTCTGGATACAAGTATACATACATGTGTCGTCCCCACACGTAGTCTCCGTGATTGAGTAGTAGTCTAGGGACTACAAAATATGATACAATATTACTCAAACGGTTTCTGAGAATATCAACGTCTTTGATTGTAGACAGGTGATCGTTTCTTCCAATGAATAAGGCTACTGGCATCGTTACTCTGCTCAGGTCATAAGCGGGAGGTGTAGAGGTGTTATAGACTTTCATATTAATCTGGGATCCGTAGTCATAAAGTGAAAATTCCTTTCTGTAACCAACTTGTAGATAGTGGCCAATACTTTTCCAAGAACCGCCAGTTGGGAAATAAGTGGCTATGTCTTTAAAAAATTCTGGTTCCAACTCCGCTGGATCATAACCAAATAAAGGAAAATATAAGCCAAATACACAAAAGGCGTAACCAAGTAGCGGTAAGGAACAAATCTTAAACAAGAGTCGTCCTAAAGTGGTTTTATCACCTAGAACTTCTGTGAGACCAATTTTATTTGCCAGTGCATTCAGTAGCGGTGCATTCTGTATGGCTATTGAAACTGGAAACTTAGTGTTTTGTAAAAAACATATAGGTGCTAGGGCTATCATAACACTAACTTTGGAATTGTATTCTGCTCTGGTCGAGCCCAGAACGTAAAATGCAGTATTTCCTTGAGAGTGACCGACCGCTGCTAGTTTTGTAGCTTTCGTTTCATTCAAAACTGTGTCAATAAAAGCGGGAAGATCAAAATAACCCATTTCATGAAAACTAAAATTCCAGTAACTGTCATCGAGATCAGGGTTCAAGTATTGGTGCCGCCTGGAATATTGATTGCCTCTAAAGTTACCAATCCATACGTCGTAGCCTTTATCAGCTAAGGTGATGCCAAGAGATTGTTTGCCTCTCAATAACCAGGCGTCTGCTGTTCCTTGGATGCCGTGAGTCAGTAATACTGGAACGCGACTCTCACCGGCTAATCTGAACAGAGAGAGAATGTATCCGTCTTCTGTGATCACCTCGTATTCTGTAGCTGGATGGCCATATTTTGTAGCAAGTTCATTAAATCCCAAATTGGATTGTTCAGGATGATTAAAAATCTTATCTAAATGTAAATTCTCTTGACTTGTGACATAGTTTTCACAGCACACGAAAGTTATTATAAATATTAAACCACTACACATGTTCAAATGAATTGACCGCATCGTTTAACACTTCAATGAATTATGTTTTATTAATGTGAACTGTTAAGTGTTTTGTTATGATAAATAGGCCTGTATTTTGGCTGACATCAAAATAATATAATTAAATTTACTCAGCGAGGTTTATCAAATTTAATGTTATCCGCTAAAAACTAATAGAAACTACGTATCTTGAATAGCTGTTTAATGTTTGAAAATAGTTAAATAACATGGTTAATAAAAGTATAATCATCTTGGTCTACTTAAGTATGGACGAGTCCTTTCGTGAAGAAATTATCTATTACATTATTATGATAAAATTTTACATCAATACGTTCCAGAGGACTCCTTCAGATCAGAGCTATTTAGTAAAATGGGGGAAAAGTACCGAAAACACTTACTATATCAGGCTTTTGACACAGTCAAGCTTTTGTTGGCGGGACGTATGTTACTCCTGGATAGCGGTCAATAGTCGCATAGCCACGATTGGTTTCTAGAAATCAAACGTGGATCAGTTAGTCTTATGGTAGCTAGGTCTCAAAAACAAAAAACCACAAACGAAAGAACCCTTTATCACAAAAAAAATCAACGTCTCTTTCTTTAAAATTTGTTCTTTATGAAGTCCTTATAATGTTTATTTATAGTTGGTTGCACAAACAGTTATTCCCGATAACTTTAATCCTAATCATCATATCTCGAATATGGTATTTTGGAGAATGGAAGATTGGTTGGCTCAAATACGTTGGTTTCAAATTACAGCACTTAAAGGAAACAAATTTTTAATTTGAACATTTAGTGTTTAAAACCATTAAATAGATTAAAATCCCCTCACAATAATATATATAAGGGCACTTAAAAAATGCGAAGATATAAATTCTATTTTAAAGAAAAGTATATCTGAAATCAAATTTGAATATAACATAAACGAAAGATTTAAACATACTCTTAAAATCTACGATCGTTCCAATCGAAGAGATAGTACTGATCTCTTGTAATTATTGCTAATACTTTGTTCGCCACTCTTTTACCTTCTCATCTTCCTACTATATTGTATTTATCTCTCAGGTCTTCTCATCTATATAACATACGGCGCCTGGCATAGTTCTGAACGCCGTCGTACACTGGACACAGTGCAACTGGCTGAGCTTCACAACGACAGTCAGACAGCTCTCCTGGGTCAAACTCTCTGACACATACAAACACAACAACAACAACAGGTGGCAAGCCCCACCGGGACTGTTGTGTCGTTTATATCCAGTATTTGATTACAAGAACTTACAAGGACTTGTACTACTTAAAAAGGTTTGATATAAATTCATAATGAAACTTTACTCGCTTGTGAAATTATAGTAAGAAATAATCTTATCTATTTTAATATATTAATGACATAACATTTGAAATAATTAAAAAGAAATCTCTATTGTACGATTTCTTTCGTGTTTGTGTAAACATTTTTATATGTTCTCTTTCATTTAATGTTCACTGCCTTTAACCATGTTTATGCTATTTTAATATTCAGATCACTCAATAAATGTAGATTACGATAAAACAAACAAAAAATCAAAAGCTTTTCTTTGCTGATGATGATTGAAATAATAATATAGCGAAGAATCTCATTTGTTCCTTTAACACCAAAGTATTATGTTAAATGTAAACCAAATGGTATAAATATAAGCTGTTATATGTTAATCAATACTTTTAGATTTCATTCGCACATTAAAATTAAGGATACTGTTTATTCCGCTACAAAAATGTGTTTAAAAATATAATTTTAACATTCTATGAAAATTATTATATTATTATGACCTTTATTATGAAAGATTAGTCTTTTATTTTACAAGTTTATTTGATGTATTCTACTTGTAGTACTATGAAATTGTAGTCGGAGAAATGTAAGAAAAAATGTATAATCATGTAATGTTTATTATAAGTATTTCGTTTCGTTGTATTTAATACGACCGTAAAACAAACTCGGTATTATATTATTGTACTTAAGCGTTTACATTAGATATAGGCTGTGAAGTAATAAATGTGCTTGGAATTATACTGGTTTTATTTTTTTCCTATTTGTTACTCGCTCCTTTATTCCTATGAACCCTAGATTTGGCTGGGACGTCATTTCATACAATATAGTCTTATATTGATTAAAAAAATAATTAGACCATGTCTTATTCTGATGTCTGAGATACTGTAATGTTTTATCAGAATGAGTTTAAATGTATAAATCTTTCGCCTCGTACCAAAGATTTCAGTGGAGGGGAACACTCAAATGAGTCTCTTTATAAAGGCTACTTTGTTATTTTAGTTCTGTTAAGAACATGATCACTGGTGACTTGATAACCCACTTTTGACAACTAGGATGTAATTGCAATAGGCCTTTCATTAGATGGATTTATCCTGTATTCTACTGAGCCTTAATACCTAAGTCAACTCTGTGGATCGCATTTCGCTCACACATAAACGGAATTCCATCGGGAGAGCTTGATTTCTTTATATGGAGAAAGTCTAACGCACTTCCTACGGCGACTTTCATGAAAATATATTACAATTAAAGAGGTTCCAATATTCAAATTAGACACAAGTGTTAATTAAGGTCGATGTTAGACTAGCGAACTGTCAGTGCGCGATAAAAATGCTATTCATTTGAATACATTAAATCTAATTATCTTATTTTTTCAATTTTCAGTAGTGACGTCCTTAGCAAATAGTGTCATTTGTGATAAACCTTTTATATCTATTACTTGTTGTAATGTATGCGAATAATTTCGATAATTCTTTGAACATATTCTATCAGTGGTTTATTGTAATTAAAGTATTCCATAGCAACCCTAAACTATTTTGGTAATAAGGACGTGAGTATATGGTGAGTGAGTATGGGACATACTTGCCATGTATAGAAATATATATTGTTGGCATTTCTATTCGAAATATTGAAATAACCTTCTAAAACTATGTGAAAATACATAATTTATAAGAAAAAAATACGAAATTGTTCTTTTTAAAAATTGTGTTTGTTCGGGCTAAAGTCTAAAACAACTGGACCTATTCTTATGGGCAGGGCCGTTTTATCCATTAGGCATTATAGGCAACTGCCTAGGGGCCCTGCCACGTTCAGGGGCCCCTGTGCTACAGGGAAAAGAATGGGCAATGTTTCTTAAACAGTAAAAAATTAATTTGAAAATTTGCTCTGTACATTACATCGACGCTATTTTAGTACATTTCGGAACGCATTCCTTATTAGATATTATTATTATGATTATTATTATAGTTTAATTAGTTTATATAGTTTAATTTAAAAAATTAATTAAAAACTGTCTTCGTTCAACGACGTCTCAAAACCGTTTAAATTCACTGGCTATAATGGCAATTGAAAATGACGTGTTGGAGAAGATTACCTTTCAGGATATCTTGAACGATTTTGTATCAAAAAAAGTTAGAAGAGTGAATATTTAAGCTATGTATGTTTGATTCAACATTTTTATTGAATAATATGATGATATACCCAGGTTAGTAAAAAACGGTGTAATTTTGAATTTTGTAGTGTTAACGAAAAAATTAGAAGAGGGTAGGGGGCCCTGGATAAGCATTGCCTAGGGGCCCCGACAGGCATAACCCGGCCCTGCTTATGGGACTGTCTTTCGCATCTTAGGACTGGAATTAGGAGAAACTAAGGCTTAGCTTAGCTCCATTTAAAGATCATTGTACTTAATTTTCTTAATATAAATAAAAGAATCTATGTTCTACCTATCAAGTTACGACGCAGCTAGTTCGAAGTACAAAAGTCCCAAAGAATAAAAACCTACTTATGTATATTATTTTATACTGACTCGATGCTGTAAGTAAACTTGGATTGACTATTATTGAAAAATAATTTATAATAGCGTTGGGATAACAATGTTTCTTTATGTACTATTTGACCTTTGAATATTCAATTTTCAAATGCTTTTCATAAGTTGTATAATAAAGAAAAGTATACATTCCTACATTAGAAAATAAAAATTTCAAACACATTTCATTTGATCTGAATTGTTTGGTTTTATCACCTTCGGCATATTGATGGAGATATGAATTTTTCCAAATAAATAATACTAAAAAAAAACAAACTTAGTTCTATACATTACAGTTTATGATCACAAATTTATTACTCAGATTTAAATTTTTTCCTTATTATCTGTTGTGCTTGATTGTTTTACGTTATCAGGTGAATTATATTTTGATAAAACACGCATTACGTTTGGTATCGAATTGACTTTCATATTCCTCGCCCAAATGTGATCTCCGTGATTGAACCTCCTTCTTGGATTAACGAAATAATACACAACATTCGCCAGCCGACGTCGCAGTAGGTCAACATTGGCGAGAGTGGACAGTGGATCATTTTTAGCTGCTATCAAGGCCACGGGCATGGTGACTTTGCTTAAATCGTACACTGGAGGGATTGTGGAGTTGTATACTATCATATTTTTATCACTTCCGTAGTTGTACCATTGGAACTGTCTACTATTTTCAACCTGTATGTAATGTAGAAAGTCCTTCATAGACGTACCAGATGGTAAATGATGAATGAATACATTAAAAAATTCCAGTTCAAATTCCTTGGGATCGTAACCTAACACTTGGAAAAAACCTGCTGTCATACATAAGTCCGCTATCGATGGATGGTGACACCATGATCTAAGAAATGCTGTTTCATTACTGTTATATCCGAAGAATTCGTCCAGATGAATGTTTAGATTATTTAAAATGTCATTCACCAATGGAAGAGTATTTATTAATAGTTTTAACAAAGGTGAAGTTGTATTATGCAGGTAGCAGACAGGAGCTAGCGATATCATAACATTGACTTTAGAGTTGTACTCCGGTCTTGTAGAACCTAGCACGTAGAAGATCGTAGTCCCTTGTGAGTGGCCTATGGCGATAAGACTTGATGATCCAGTCTCGTTTAAAATCCTATCTATGAGAGCCGGAAGATCATAGTATCCCATTTCATGGAAACTAAAATCCCAGAAAGTTCTGTCCTTGCTAGGATCAAAATAAACATGTCTCCGTGAGTATCTGTTTCCTCTGCAGTTACCGATCCATAGGTCGTAGCCTAAATTGGCTAAAGTTATTCCCATAGAATCTTTTCCTCTCAATAAAAAAGTATCTGCTGAGTCAAGGATACCATGCATAAGAAGGATAGGTATTCTGCTCTTTCCGGGAATACGGAAGAGTGTTAAGATGTATCCATCTTCAGTAGTGACATCGTACTGAATAGGTGGGTGACCATACTTGCTTGCTAATCCAAAAAAGTCTAGTGTTGCGTCCTCATGAATAAACAGTTTCTTGTCTAATGTTATATGACTGCACCAAACAGTTGATATTGTAGTGAGTACGTACAACTTTATTTTCTCGATAATCATGATCGCAATTTGAATATATTATTTTATATGTCTGTATTATTTTGTTTGATAGGTAAAGGCAAAAAATATTTATTAAGTATATTTTATAATATAGAATCTATGAGGGTGCATTGTCTAGATGGAAAATTGTATTTCTCTAATTTAACAATATTCCACCAGATAGGCAGAATAACTTCCGACTAATCACTGTAAAATAGGATAAGGTACTATTTAATAGAAATGGAAAACTGATCAAAATAGTACTTTTTGTTCGGTTTTAAGTTCACTATTTCCTGATCTACTGTTCCGTATATATTTTAATATTTTTTTTAAGTTTCACAATTACTTTACACTTATTTTTATAACTTCTAAACTTATGTCACTTATGTACGTCCAATATTTTGCTTGATATCTTCGATACTGATCTTACTAGAAATAATAATTTACAACAATTTTCTGCAAACAAATAAATTTTAATTACCATGGAAGGCTATTTTAATGTCAGTTTCTTGTAAACTAAACATATGACAATTAAAAAATTATGTTTAATAATAGCATTTATTTCAATAGTAACATGTCTTGAATATACCGGCATAAAATGCTTAAAATTTTTCAAATTTTTTTTAAGTGAAGTATAGTTTCCATTTTTCTTCTATAAGAAACAATACTTCACTTCTAACTAACTAAACTAATGGAAATTATTTTCTTCTTGATATGTATCATTGGCTTTGATACACATTAAAAACATTTTATTAATATTCACTTCAAGACATTGGTCAGGTTTGTATTTATATGATATTTCGTATTAGTCTTGATGATAAAAGGAAATTAACCCCAAGATGGTAAATTTTTCCTGTCATTTTGCTGTGCCTTTCATTCTTGCCCGTAACCTTGAAAGTAAACCAAGTTTCCTTGCAGCTGCCTTAGTTATGAACTCCAAACACCGCTAAAAGGTTACACTTGAAGACACCTGGATTGGCTTTGTACCATTTGGATTCTGTCTGAAGTGAGAAAAAATACTCTTAACGATGGCAGCATATAATTCAAATGTTCGACATGAAATTGGGACGTTAAAGCATCAGGCAATTTTATTGGTTTAAACTATTAATTGTGTATTGAGATAACTGTGTTTATAAAAGGATTGAGAAGCGTGAGCGCTTAGGTCCATCAACGAAATGGAGGATCTTGGATCGAACGAAGTTGAGAATTTAATAGTTGTATAGCTTAGTAGGGTTCTTGAGAGAGAGAGATTTTTTGTGCTTCTTACAGTTATAGCTTAAATGTGCAAGTACGAGGTTTGGACAGGATTTTATTGTATTTAGATTTTAACGCTTCTCCTAAAATAAAGCTTTTCCTAAACACCTCGGCAGTCTCGCTGATGGCTTGTCTAGCGTGTTGCGTTGATAGCCCAAATTTTGTACCATAATTATGTTACTCATGTGGAAACACAATTCGCAGAGTCATGTTTCAAAAAAATTAAATGCTAGGAATAATATAGGTAGAAATGTCCAAATAAATAGAATGATACTTTAATTTCTCTTATATTAAAAGAAAAGCTAAGACCTATCTAAATATTTAAGTTCATGCATGTAAAATACGCTTAGTAGATTGTCGTAAGGCATAAAAATGGTAAAACTTGGTACCAAGGTCTGCCAATGATGATGTGATCGAATGTTAGACTGCACTATAAAATCCTCAAATAAAAAAGTAAATGAAATTGGCTGACCTCGATAACAATTTTTTTTTACTAAAAAATGTGAAACGGGGGGGGGGGAAAGTGTTTATAATATTTTTTTTATATATTATGTAATAAATTATGTTTGCAGAGTAACTTCAAAGTTAATTTATTAGATAGTCGTAAAAAAATATTATCATTAAATGTATACATTATTACATTATTGTTCATTATTCCCCTTGTCGTCAATCTTATTGATGTAGATTGTTATTCAAAAATTACTATAGGTGATAACATTACATTTTAAGCAAGCTGTAGTGTGGTTTGCTCCACTTTTCCTACACCCACAAGAAGTTCCACATCGTAATTTCATACGCCAAAAATATTGTTTATCAAAGATTGTAGAGCTGGTTTCCACGTCATTGTTTGCGATATATAATATTCAACATTGGTATTTCCAACATCCAACTTTTTTCGTGATATGTTTCTACCGAGACATTTTTTTTGAAACGTACTGTAAAAAAACGTATATTAGATCCCAATTTACTGGAAAATACAATATTATCATCACTATGGTTCAATAACCTCAGATTTATTTTTTAATCATTAGGAACATGGTAAACTATTGCAATATTTATTGATTGTGCTAGTGATAAGTAACCGTTTCCTTTTTCTTAAATATATTTGAAAATCTGCTCCGTTACTTAATCTACTTGTATTTTTACTGGATGTCATTTTTTCTCATCATAGTGAGACCCAGAGGTCTGTTTTAGGGTAGTTCTTAAACACATGCATCAAGTGACTTTAACAATATCATACGAGTATAATTCGGTGCTTAAATCAGAACAACGTACGATTTTATTATTGCTTATACTACTTGATGTAGATGTTTTAGAATAAGGCACCAAAGTTGGATACAAATTTAAATAATAAATAAATACAATGTAAAAAAGTTCACAAATAATAATTTTTATTATGATTGTAACAAATAAAATAATCGAAATTCATTTACAATTCATTTGAATCACAGTCTGTTCCTTAAAACTAAAATCTTCATACATTTTTATATTAAACAATGACAACGTTTGTAAATAACATTATATATATTGGAATGTTTTTTACGGACTAAGTGTTATCACAGAATTATATTATTGTTTTATTTATTTACATTTTCATTTAACATTTTTTTAACAATTAAATTTCCACACAGCAGAAATATTATGATTCATATGATGAATAAAAATTCAAAATGTTTAATGTGTATTGTCAATATTTAGATTTAATTTTAATAAATTTTGATGTAGTCCTAAAAATTATAAGAAAGCTATTTGATTTTCAACATGAAATTTTGTGAGAGGGACGGATGTTAAAAAATATATATGTAGTAAGTTTTTTTATACTTAAGACGCCATTTATATAAGTCAAAGATTATTGTGTAACACTAAAGCTATATTGAAATGTTTTAAAAATGATTTCTAGATTTATATAATAAGTCAATATCATTTGTCATAATACATAATAAATATTTAGCGAATAAAATGAATCTTTTGAGCAAGCACTGGCTTTGATGAACTAGTTAACATGCTTCCAGCTTTCGGCCACTGTCTAGACAAATCCAGGTCTTTCCTTTACGCTAGACTAAAGAGTTCTACTGTCTAAAACTAACTCATCTATTGGTAGTATCACAACTCTAACCATAATATCTATAGACTGATGCGTCTTTACATCACATAAGTGTAAATCCAAGACGATTCATCAAAATTTGGTGACGATTTGTTTTACATGGATTCCGTTTCCATTCATGACTGGCAGCTCCTTCTCTCTCAAGATACTGTTACGAAGACCATAGAAGAAGTAAATAGCGTAGCCTGGAAAGAGGAAATTTTACTTGAATAAAGAATAGTGGAGGAAAGAATATATACTTTTAATGTAATATTTATTGTTTGACATAACAAATAGTTCCGTGTTACATTCATGGTCACAGTTTAATAAAAAATACTTTTAAATTTCATAACAAAAATATAAATAAATGTCTTGTATAAAAATGTCGTTCTAAAAATGGTGAACTTCCCATAATGTGCAAGGCAACACAATAGCTTTCAGTTAAATAAATGAGGGGTTTTGAATATATGGCCTTTTTTTGTTTTTACTTAATGTTAAAATACTTACCTATAACCAACCATATGATGAAGCGGACCCAAGTTTGGTAGTCGAGTTGTGCCATGAGGTACAAGTTCATACACACGCTGAGGTAAGGAACTAGCGGCACCAGCGGCACCTGCGGGTATACTCTCATTAAGAAATTTGATGATGACCTCGGAGGTCTTGAGTAACAATGAGAATTCAGTAGCAGATGTTAGGCCTTGATATGTTGGATCAAATGTAACGAGAAGAGAAGAGAAACTATAGAAGTTTTATTGATACATTCAAATATAGGTATATCTCTAGACTTAAAACTATATGTCTTAAATCTCATTGAAACTCAAGATCCATAGACTAAAACTTTAAAAAGGATCTTTAGTTGTACGTCTATATAAATAAAAAGAATTCGGATGTCCATCTGTAACATTGATGTAAGCATTACCCTCAATGCATACTTACTGATGATATGTATGTATACAAATAACACTTAAATAAAATAATATAAATTACAATACTATGCGGACAAAGCTAGTAGTTTAGCTAGCTTTTTAATACTTCAGTATCTTTTTAACTTGACCAATCAAATTGGTATGAACATAATCATTCAAATATTGATTCTGACGGACCTTGAAGCTGAGTTTCGTGACGTCAGCTCGAGGCTGCCTGTAAAGTACTATGAGCAGCACCAGCAGGACGGCCCCTATCGCGCTCCACACCGCCACACTTGTAGACCATTGCATCACGACACAACACACCAACATACACACGACTACAACAAATATAAAACTTATATGACTTACTTCTATACTAAAAAATGTCAAAAAAGAAATTTCTTTAGAAAAAATTACACTATTTTACTTTCTTAGGTCATAAAAAATTGCTTTCATGTCTCATAAACACGTTGGGGATGTGTTCTTGTAAATAACAAATATCACCTAAAAATTATCGGTGTCATATCTCGAAGTTACTGATCTTTAATTATTTATTATTGCTGTATTTGTGATCAAGAGAAAAAAAATTAGCAGTACATTAAAAATCAATCAACATAAAAATGAAAGCTTACAAAATATCCCGATGGTACACTTGGCGATGGTAGCAGACAGTTCTGTGGGGTGTTTGAGACCCAGCAAGTTGCAAGTCTGCAGGATCGTCGCTCGTGGTCCACCTACTCTTAATGATTTGTCTTTAACCGTCAACGGATGCTCCTCTTCATATCTGAAAGTTTAAATTGTTGAATTATTGGAATATACGAGAAGAATGTATTTTGTCATATTGAGGGAATATATGTTTGTAATATTTACCTTAGAATTAATACGCTTGTTGCAACAATTGTATACGCCAGTAACGTCCCGATAGACATCATATCTATCAGCTGGTTCAGGTTGAAGATCGCTGCCATCACAGCTAAAATGAAACAATTTTTTCCATGAGGATGATATAGGAAAATAATGAAAGACCCACAAATTCCATTACAGGTAACAAATTAATGGAATACATAATACATACAAGTAGTTAGTATAAAACCAAAAAAGATAAATAAAAAGCGATTAAAAGTGTGTAATTAAATTCAAATTTGTTGTGTGGATGAATATCGTAATCTAAGACTTAGATTAGGAGCTCTGTAGCTCCGTAGGTTGCAAATAAGTTATCAATGTTACAGCTTAGTTATGTTTTACTATAAAAAAAAAAACTATAAAAATAAATCTAAAACAATTACTTCATCACCAAAAAATGTACTATCATTAGCAATTTATACTTCAACATAAATAAAGTTCCATCTACCTGAAAATAGTCCACTCAGCGCGGTCGCCAGCAACGGCGTTTTGGTTCTCTTGTGAATAACAGCTAGCGGCTTAAACAGAACTCCGTCTGAGCCCATGGCGTATAGAACTCTTGGTAATGGAAACATTGCACCTAAAAGACTTGTGCAGAGAGCGAACACAGCTCCTATAGTTACAATCCATTTGATGACCGGCATCCCGGACTCAGCGAACACGTGAGGGAATGGAGCGTCGGCGTCCTAGAATAGAAACAATTTTTTTGAGTTTAATTTCATACGAAATAAACATCTCATTGTTTTATTTGTACATATTCTAAATTGTCTTCAGATTTAAATAAACGTCATTGAAATAAAAGTAACTTTAAATGTTCTAATAAAAAGTCTATGCTTAGATACTTAGTTTTGGTCTTGGAATTTACAGGCAATATTAAATTTAAAAAATATATTTATATAATTCTATTCAAATATGTAGTTCAGACATTTATACTATGTAAATTAGCAAAAAATTATGTTTTATAAAGACATTTTGTTTACGTATTGTAGATAAGATTTATGTATTTATTTTAAATTATGTTATAACATAAATGACTACAATTCAATGGTATATAATTTAATTTTTTTATAGTAATACAATCTACTTGATGCAAATATATAAATCACACGAGAATGATTTAATTCTCAAGACAATAACATCATGAGACATCTTTTGTTAATTCATGTGTTCTATAATTTAATATTATAATAGAATGAGCTGCCATTTTATAATTGATCATTGTGTTACACACATTTAGAACTAATAAACATCGATCTATTGTTTGTAAATCTAAATACATAAAGTTATATTACTAACACATTAAAACTGCCAAAGATGAATCTCACCTGCAAATAGTAAGGCCACATCATAGTTAACACGGTGGCGATACTGAAGTATGATGCGAAAATGATCACGAGGGACAAGACTATGGAGAGTGGGATGTCTCTTTTGGGGTTTTTTGCTTCTTCACCGGTTGTCGCCACGCAGTCAAAGCCTACGAAGCCGAAGAAGCACTTCGCCGCTCCAGCCATGACTCCGGCCATACCCCACGGCATGAACCCTCCATTACCGGCCTTGTCGCGATATTCTTCTGGTATTTCCTGGACATCTATGCGCCAGTTGGCCGGGTCACCTGAAAATATTAAAAATATCATCCATAGTTATTTACTTTCAGTTATATATGAACCTACTTCGCTAGATGTCTTCTACCAAGATGTTTTTACAAGAATCGACTCGTTAATTCGTCTATTTAATATGTATTCAGCACATAAGTACAATAATTACAGTCGTATTAGTTTTTCCATGAAAACTTTATATTTAAATAGACACATGAGTCAGGATTGATATTCTCATGTGAAATTACTGATACGTGATGTAAAGGTACTTATAAATATTACAACTAGCTATGAGATGGCTAGTATTTTCAAATAATGTTCCACTAGGGAAACTATATATTATGTAAATGTTTATTTTAACTCATTCTTTTAAATAAAACACACAATAATATTAAATGAAATAACCTTATTAAAGTGTGTTTTTTACTTATTTGTAAATTTATTGAGCACTCTTCGAGTAATCGAATTGAAACTCATATGGATAACGCGTACCTAAAACTGAATTCAATATGCGGGCAAAACCGCGGGTGACAGTTAGTTGATAATAAATATTATAACTTACTTTTAATAGCACCCGCAACTACGACGATTATGACTGTAACCATGTTGAGTGCGGTGAATACATTGTTCAGTTTAGTTGACTCACTCACTCCAATACCGAGGAGAACTGAAATGTATGAAGAAATATACTTTGATATGGTTTGAATAGAAAATATTATGGTAGATAGTCGACACCCCAGTATATTGTTGGTTTAGTTAGGAGAAATATATGATATAGAATAATATTCTAATAGGTACTTAATGATATATAGTTTATATATGATATTAAAATGATTATAAAAGATTACATTTCATTACAGTACGATGTTAAATTTCATGTATTTTAGTGCCTTTAGTGTAATTTTCTATACATTGTAATATTTGAATAATGATTATAATTAATATAATAGATTATTTAGCGTAAAAAATATAATCTTACTGGTTATAAGCAGTACGAGTGCAAACGCGAATATGTCCGGATAGTCCGCTAGAAAAGAGACGTTTATAGGAGCGATGCGGGTCATGGTTTCAGCCATGGTGTTGTTACAGAGACTGTCTATATAATTGGCCATGCCCTTCGCCACGCTGGCCGTCCCTATGACGTACTCCAGGATGAGGTTCCAGCCGATCGTGAACGCTATGAATTCACCGACACTCACATAGCTGTATACGTACGCGGAGCCGGCTTTTGGAACTCTTGACGCGAATTCGGCGTAGCATAAACCTGGAATCAAAGGAAAATGTATTATTTTATTATCAGCTATCTGTAGATCATGTATGAAATGTAGATATTATGGTTTAACGGCAAGAGAGAATAGTGTTAATTGGATACGTTTACTATCGTCATCTTAATTTCGACCTACCCCCAGATGCTATGACAGATAAGCATAATACAATTTACATTTAAAAAATATTTACGTGAAAACACTTTACATTTTAAGACTCATACAAATTCAAATCTTTCTCTATTTTTGCTTTAATCCGTGGGAAACGGAGAATAAAACAGATACATTAAATATTTTCACAAAAAAAGTAATATCATAAAATTCTTTAAAAACGACTCATTTGGTAAAGCTTTAATGATAGGTTACATACTACGAGTAGTATATGATACTGTATTATCATAAGCAAGTTGGTAGTTGCTAGTTGTCGGCCTCGACATTAAGACTAACACGGACTATTGAAAACTCAACAACTAGAGCACGATAACGTTCAAAAAGATCATGCGTATTTTTGTGTATATCTTGGATAACTACCAGATATTATGTAAGACAAATATTTGTGGCTAAACCGATATAATCCACAGGAAATTTTGTTTAACAATTCAAAAAAACATACACAAAACTATGATTGTTTATATGTAGTTACGAGTACATACATACATACGTAATACGTACATACATATATCCGTTGCTTAGTGTTGTCCTTGATTTGGGTAATGTACTTGAAAATATCTCTTATTTAGTTTGTATGAAATAATTTTAAGTTTCAATTTGTAGCCTCAAAGAAATTATCTATCTAACACATTAAGAATTTTTATATAATTTTTTTAGAACAACCAACAAGTAAATATAATTAAAAAGGCTCATTTAAATAAACTAATGTTACAAAAGTCGAATAACTTTACTAAGATAAGGTTAAAAGTTGAAAACACTATTTGCATTACATAATTGCTTTGCCACTGACCGACTGGCACAGTTTAGAGTTTGATGGCTGTTGAAAATACTCTTCATGGCACTTTATAATATTGTAATGTGATTCAATTGATTCCAAGTCGCAAGTTACCGCTATCGTGATTAAGAGATAATGTACAGCAATAAACAATTGTCTAATACAACATTCAAGTAGTGTTCGACTCGTCAAGATCTGAATTATTGTAATACATTATAAATTATCCAACAGCATAATATGTTATAAACATAACATCATCATCAGCCTATCAGAGCCCACTGCTGAGCTGCCTCTCCTCACATGGAGAAGGTTTGGTCATTAATCACCACACTTGCTCAAGGCGGGTTGGTGATTTCAAACTTGTAATTTGAAATTATAATTCCAGCTTTCTTCACGATGTTTTCCTTCATAGCCTGTCAGTGGTGTCTAAATATTCTTAGAAAGTACATAAGACTCGGTACATATCACATGGGTACTTGCTAGGTTTCGAACCCGCGCCCTCATGCTCTAGAGGCGGGCCTTTAATCTCTAGGCCACCAAGATTTCTATATAAAATATTATGCTATTTGGTATAATAATTGATATATGAAACTCACCTGCAAACGCAGAGGCAATAGCTGCAACAAGAAAGCTCAGGGTTACTGCTGGACCTGCAACGGTCTTAGCGACCGCACCGGCCAGTACATAGACACCCAGACCGAGGGTGCTGCCCACACCCAGGGCCGTTAGGTCTAGGAGACCGAGGCACCTGGACAGCTGGGTCGTAATCTCTCCCTCCTCCAGCTGCTTGCAGCGGCGTAATGCGGCGAAAATTCTGGCGCAACCCATCTGTTAAATAAATTTGTTTGTAAATTATAAAGTAATGATGGGTATTCTAATCGCATAGAACCATTTAACTTTACTTCATATAGAAAACTGCTATTAAATAGAGATAGTTCTAAAGGAACGTTATGGGAAAATTCACAAGACATTGTAAAGAACATTTTATAGGCGGCTCTTAACCGATCATTTAACCTGTATTGAATAATCGATATTATTCTTTAATATTGAAGGTTTCTTAAGCAATACAAACATCCGTATGTTATTGTATAAATTTCTCTTTTATAAATCTAGTTCCAACATTCCGTAGTAACATCACCACTGAATGTTAATCAAATCGTTTCGTATTCCATCAATGAGGTTGCGATCAGCTGTCTACTGTCAAGGTGAGCTGAAGTGACGTCATAATACCATCATACTCATTGTAATTACGATTGTATTGAAAACTAGCTGATGCTCACGACTTCGCTCGTATTTTATTAACCAAATATGTCTGAACAGGCATTGTTTATAAAAATCGTTATTACTTGGAACTTATACCTTTATACATTATTTTTTTTTATGATAAAAATAAAGTGTCTTAGAAATAAAATTTAAATGTCATTGTCAAGTTAAATTTAAATGTCAAAAATCTGTAATTTTTATGAAGACGTAATTTTTAAGTATAAGTTGGGTTTCAATAGTCTAAAAACTGATTATCACTTTTCCAAAATAAACATTGAGGCCAACCATGTACTTCTTTATAAGGTCACAAGATAAGCAGTTTTCATTAAATTGATCATGAGGACGAACAGAGGAAAACATATACATATACATATTTACTACATACGACTTCTTCTTCTTCTTCTACCTGGCAATTTCCCAGCTATAGCCAGGGTCTGCCTTACATGTTATGAATAGTTTTTGGCTATTTGTTTTTACGACCGGCCGCCTGCCTGACATCAACCCTCTTTTTGGGAATCAACATTAATCAGTGATGTCTAAATACTCTTAGAAAGTACATATGATTCCGAAAAATCACATTGCCTTGCCCGGGCCAGGATTGAACCCGCGCCCTCGGCGACGAGAGGCCAAGAGGCGGGCCCTTTAACCACTGAGCCACCACTGACTTCTACATACGACTCTTCAACAAAATTTAACTTCAACAACAAAGGATAAATGATCATTGTAATCTAAAAATCTGTTCGGATACATTTATTAAACTATGCTAAGTTTTTCGCATACTACGACTTTTTTTTATTACTTTATATCTGCATAATCCCAACGTTTCGGTTCCTTTACAGCAACTGTGATTACAAATCGGGATTACGTAGATATAAAACAATAAAAATGCTGCTTAGTATCTGACAATTTTGCCTTCATTTAAACGTGTACACGAGATAGTCTTAGATATCTATAGTAAGTATCTATTAAAAGTAATTATGAAACATCAAAAGAAAAATTAAACTTTAACTTAACAAAGATTATAATTTGAACACGAAAAGTTCCCCTTTAAACGAGTTTGTCTCAGGATTGTTCAAACAAGGTAAATATCATGTCACAAGTCTTTCACCTTCGAATTGTAAGGGATTTTCCCTTTACCTGACTCTCACAATGAAAAATAACAGTAAGGCGAGTCATAAGAAGTCATATTGAAAATTATAATGAAATATTAATTTTTCATTATAATATAACTTCATAATAGTCTATTCGATGGCGAAGATTTGTTGCGGAAGCAATATATTTAATGTATATTAAATAAAATTATTTTGTTTGTTTGTTTGTAAAAGATGGTGAATGCAAAATTCTAGGCGATAATGACTAAGTACCAAATTCATTCTTTTATAAATATTACACACAACTAATAAATAAAAGTTATATGTTGTAGATATTAGTTTTATAATTTTTCAAATTAATTAACTTGTTTTTTTTTGTCTTTAAACTATAATCTGTTACTATATATGAATAATTTTATGGCGAAAAATCTTTAATTAAATCCGTTATTTGTTATCAAAATAACTAAAGAAGCTTTGTATAAAAACAAGACCATAAACATTTTTTATTTATTTGAACCAAATTCCTTTCATTATCTTGTCGCAATTTAAGAGTTTAAATACTTAATTATGTATATATACTTTATCGAAAAGACTGAATGCGCATTTTACAACAAGGATTAAAACCAGTTTAATCAAATGAATTTTAAATATAAATTATTCGTGCGCCGAAGGTTTTTTTTGCAATATTTTTATATCCTTGTTTAATATGCCGTGTCCTGGTGTAAATATATTCATAAAGAATGCCTCTACATTCTTTTCAACGATTGATTCCGACGATTGAATACACATCTAAAGAAGATATATGGTATATGAATTACTACAGTTAAAATTACTTCATATTTTTATATTATTCTTATGGAAAAGCTCTAGTCTAATTTAACATTGATATAACGTACTTTCTAAGAGTATTTAGACACCACTGACATACGGTGAAGGAAAACATCGTGAGGAAACCTGGACTTATAATTTCAAATTACAAGTTTGAAATCACCAACCCGTGTTAAGCAAGCATGACGATTAATGCTCAAATCTTCTCCATGTGAGAAGAGGTCTTTGCTCAGCAGTGGGCTCTGATAGGCTGATGATGTGGTGATAACTTCGATAGAAAGTTACTTCAAAATTTCTAATATAAATATATTTTATGTGAATGTAGATTAGATTTTCTATTAAGTCTACATCCTCGTGTATTGTCGTTCATATTTTTTTGATAATCGCCACGAGCGTAAACAAACAGGTTATATCAGACATAGGCATTATCTCGAGTGTTAGTTCAACGATTCCTTTTGTTTAATAAATATTTTTGAAAATACACTAAATTTAAGGCATATTTAATGACAATATCTCTCGTATTTTTTATATATTTGTTTTATAAGAACATGTACCGAAACGTTTAGAGTAAGAAAGAAAGAGAAAAATCAATACAATATAAAAGATATATGAAGATTTTTTGGATATTACTTAAAATCTGTATACAATAAATAAATTCTATCATATATATTTATATACAACTTATATATACATTTTTGCATGTGTGTGTTATATATAAACACGTCGCATTTTGTTGTGAGATTATTGACCTCACGTTTGATGAATTTAAACAAGTGAAAAATAATGACCGAAATTTCAAAAACAAAGATATAATACGAATAAATCAAGATAAATTTCACTTTATTTTGTGTATTTGTTAATAGAAAAAACAATACAAAAGCATAATAATGAATAATTGTTCAAAGAATATTAATAATTCAACCATACTTACTATGATGGTGACCCAGGAGTTGTTAAATTAAATAAAATAATTATTAATATGAAAAAAATGTTAAATCACGCCAATAACTAAACAGTGACAACGACAAACTGAAAGTGTCTCGTCATATCGCACCTGTTTGAATTGATGATATCTTTATAGTCTGAAATAAGCTTTATAAATATTATTATCTAGTTTTACAATAGTAAAGATATGTACACACGAGGTGAGAAAAAAATATGGCCTCATCCTTGAGGATGCTGCAGTCGTGAGAAAAACATCTTTTAATATTGATTGGAAATAAAATTGGTGATGTAACAAAAACATATTGTTTTTATATCGATACAGCAAAAGTCTTAAGTTGCTTTTTACATACTGACCTTTGAACCTTTTTGTAATATATAAGTGTGTCTGTAAATGTATTTCTAAAGGCTATTACATTATGTATGTTTGTAAAAACTTTGAGATATAAGCCGTAAAATGGAATAATACTGACTTTGACTGTCACTAATTTACATTGTAATAAATATCAGTTATTGTAACAATTAAAAAATTCATACAAAATAAGTAATTTACATTAAAACTGCTTCTCATAATAATATAACCAGTAAAAAATAATTGCTAATTAATAATAAATAAAGTGTAAATAAAATAAATGTCAGTTGTAAATGTTCGTTTTCTCCCAAACGAGAAACTCTCCAACATGTAGGTTTCACGTGAACATACTTAAAAAAATTGTCAATATTTACACAGTTTTATTAAAATGCACTGAAATGACACATCATATAAAATCATATATACTTATAGTACAGGTAAAATAAAGGTATTTTTTAATATGGGATATGATTTGTCATGTTTGCTTTGTTTAGACTAAATTGCAGACTGTTCTGAGACTGTGTTGGTTAGGAGACTTATGACATTGAATGCAAACGTAATGCATCCAGTTGCTATGGATACAGGAGATAAAGTATATGATCAACAAATATTTGATAAATGAAAGTGAAAGACATACTAGCTTTTGATGATTGTGTAAAAATAGTTTAATTATAAACCCACTGTGATTAATATTATGGATTTGTTTTATGATAGTGCAATAATACTGTTTGTCATATAATGTACAAGCTGTCATTGTTGAGTCTTGGTTGTTTTTTGTATTTATATATAATTTATATAATACACGGCAGAGTCAATGACCGGATTCGCCATTCGCAAGCGTTAAACAACTCTATACAAATGTCCCCGTTTTAAATGTTATACGATAAAATTTATAATTGCCACCGAACACAGCAGGCTTTTAATTAAATTATTATTATATTTACAATAAACAAAATAAAAAAAATAAATAAAATGTTCAATATATAATATTATATATCTTGGTATTGTGAAATCGGTTTTAAAATTCTCTTTGAAGAAACGTGTTTACTTTGAAGGGGACTACCCGAAAACAATTGTTTTATATTTTATTTGTTACGAGTACAGCTTGACTAGACATGCAATATAAATACCCATATAACAAACATTAGTAAGTTATTAAATCAAATTTATAAGTCAGTTTTATATTCTTGAAAGGGAAAGTAGGATTAAAATACACAAATTTTTAATGTGTTGTGCGTGATTAACTAAAAATATCAAGATTTCACGGGTGACAAAGATTTAAATCACAACTGTATTTGTATTGAAGTATGTTTCAATTGCTTACTGTTTTGTTTACGTCAGCTTACAATGAC